TGTGTGACCCTTGATCTCTGTGTTGTAAGTTGTTTTGTTTTCACTACAGGCTTGTTAAGTTCAAGGCCCTCGTTGGGTGCAGAGACTACATAGAAATAAATCTTCAAAAAAAAGTGTATGGCTTAGGGGCACCTGGGTAGCTCAGTCGGTTAAACGTCTGGCTTCAGCTCAGATCATGATCTCACGGTTTGTGGGTTCGAGGCCCGCATCGGGCTCTGTGGTGACAGCTCAGAGCCTGGAGCCTGTCTTCGGATTCTGTGTCTCCCTCTCTTTCTGTCCCTCTCCTGCTCATGCGCTCTCTCTCTCTCTCAAAAATAAATAAAAACAAAACAAAAAAAGTGTATTACTTAATTTCTAAACATTTAGTAACTAACAGGTCTCTTTCTGTTAAATTTAAATTTTTATTTATTATTATTAGGTTTCTAATTAATTTCATGTGGTCAGAAGACATATTCTGTAGAATATCAGTCCTTTTATTTATTTATTTAAAAATTTTTAATGTTTATTCATTTTTGAAAAAGAGAGAAAGCGAGAGTAGAGAGACACAGAATCTGAAGCAGGCTTCAGCTGACAGCTCAGAGCCTGATATAGGACTCGAACTTATGAACTGTGAGATCATGACATGAGCTGAAGTTGGAGCCTTAACCAACTGAGCCGCCCAGATGCCCAAATTTCAGTCCTTGTAAGCACGGGGCTTGTTTCATGTCCCCCTGCATGCCTACCTTGACAGATGTCCCCATGCACTAGGAAGAATGTTCTGCTCTCCGATGTAGTGTTGTGTGGTTATCAACAGGTAGGACTCTATTTTTCCTGACTCTGCTTACCAAGTACCAGGGGATTCTGAAGCCTTTGCCCACAGTCACGGATTTGTCTGTGTCTCCGCTTGCTCTTTCCAGCTCGTCAGGTTTTGCTCCATGCATTTTGATGCTGTCACGAGAGCCCTGTCCATTCAGGGTTAAATCTGATGAATGCCCCCTTTTTCTTTATGAAACAGCCTCTTCATCTCTGGAAATACTCCCTGTACTGAGGTCTATTTGATATTCGTGTGACCACTCCAGAGTGCTTTTTTGATTAGTTGTCATGTTTTTATATTTGAAGTACGTATCTAGTGGATGATGTAGACTTTGGTCTTAATTCTCTCTCTAGGAATGTCTGTCTGTTAGGGCGTCTAGGTCATTTTATTTCTGCTCTTTATTCCCTCCCCTTACTTTCCTGCCCTCTTGTGGGCAGATTTCACATTTACGCTGAAGGTGTCCCTCCTGACCGAGAACTGCACTGCGTGTCTGTGACGTGCATCAACACGCCCGTTTGTGGCAGGGGTACAAGTCTGGAGTGCGTTTGTATGCATCAGCTCACAACAACCCACGAGCTAATGAGCAAATTATCTCCTTATAAAAGATAAGAAAACCAAGTTTAGAGATTTAAGTAATTTTCATAGGGGCACCCAGATCATGACGGAGACAGGCGTTAGCTCCTGGGGCATCTGACTTCAACACTGCAGCCTTTAACCATCTCTCTCCATTGACTCTGGCACCTCAAGAACATTCCATCACTGAGAAGCAGACCCAGAACACCGCGTCCACGGTCAAATGCAGTCTTGGCTTTCTAAGGAATTGACCTTGATTCCTACATCACTGATAACAGAAACCCTTAAAAATCTCCCCAGCTTTTCAGACTGTTTCTTTGCCTTTATCCCCATCTGCACCTACTTTTACATAATGGCCTGTTCTAGCAAGAACACACACGTGCAAATGCAAATACACGTAAATAAGTACACGTGTATACATGCAAATATACAAGTACAACTATACAAACACAAATACATATATACAAACATGTGTATACACAAATACACATGCACACCAATACACATACACATGAATACACAAACACGTGTATATACACACAAAAACGCACACACACATATATACACAAACATGCACACAGACACACACAAATACACATACACACACATGCCTGTGGCCCTAGGCTTGACCCTCCTCTCGAGCCCTTTCTTCTGCTGCTTTCCTCATCCAGATGAAAGCCTGCCTTGACCCTGCCTTCATCCGCCCCTGCCCTGCACTGTCTGCCGTGGCCCCTGGTTACTAACACAAAGACTGGTCATTTCTTTCCTCGGACTCTTTCCTCTTTGGTTCCTTGGCACACTCGCTCCCCTGCACGCCCACTCCCACGCACACTCACTTGAGTTCACACCCGGTCCTATACACCTGCTTGAACTCTCACTCTCTTGAGCTCACACTCACCAATGCACAGCCGGTTGATCTCACACTTGCTCCCCTGCACACTCATATGAGCTCACACTCCCACAACCCACTTACGCTCACTAGCTCTCCTGCACACTCACTCTTGCACACCCATTTGAGCTCACTCATGCTTCCACATTAGCTCCCCTCCACACTCGCTTGAGCTCACTCTTGAACACCCATTTGAGTTCACACTGTTCTGCACACTTGCTTGAGCTCACACTTCCTCCCCCACTTGCTCTCCTGCTCACTCTCACGCTGACCCACTCACACCCCCACTGACACACACACCCACAGTTGAACATTTGGGAATTCTATCAAGGCCAATAAGCTGTGCGGCCATGGACTCTGTTGGGTCAAAGTTGTAGGCGTCTCTGTCAGAAACACGCTCGTAAGTTCATGGAGAGCATCACCCCATGTCACAACCGAGGCCGTGGGGCCACCTCCAGGACACTCAGACCTCCGCTTCTGCTCACCTCCCACAAGCCCAGGCCCCTGGACCCCGGCAGCAGGCGCTGCTCTTCCCCCGCCGGGCCTCTTGGTTCCTCGCTCTCCTCTCCCCTGCAGGTGATCTGGGAGGAACCGAGACGCGGCCTCCCTGTCCCGGCAGCTCTTCCCGCACCTCCACTGCCCCCAGTACTGCCCCGGGCCCTGCTTTCCTGCAGCCCCGCACCTGCTGGCCGTCTCATCACTGGGTCCCCTCATCATGGCCCCCCTCCCACCCCCTGGCTTCCCCGCCCCTCGCACCCCAGCTTCTCTGGAGCACACGCCCAGGGGCCGGACCTTCTTTCCAGGCCCCTGTCCTCCTGTCTCCCTCTCCTGCCCGCCCTGGGGCTCCCCCACCCCCTCCCGGCTCAGGCCTCCCTCCCCAGGGTGATGCCCAGACACCTGCAAAGCTCCTGAACCGACTTTTTCACGACGACGCCTTGGAGTCTCCCCTGCCTCCAGCTGTGGCGTTTCCCCCTTCTGGAATCAGCAGTGGGCGTCGTCTGCTCACATCTCCCCCGTCAGGCTCACCCGGCGCATGTCTGCCCTCTCGACACGCACACTGAACGATCAGTACTCTTACCCGGAAGTTTCCTAGTTAAACTTTTTAACATGAAAACTTTTCAGAATGTCATTTATCACTTATGAATGTATCTTGATTCCTAGTTAGAGCCTTTGTCCAATGAGAATAAAAAAAAATTGTATCTCAGTTTTTTTGTTAGGGTTCCATTAAAAATTTTTTTAAAGTGTTATTTATTTTATTTTGAGAGTGAGACACAGCATGAGCAGGGGAGGGGCAGAGGGAGAGGGAGACCCAGAATCTTAAGCAGGATCCTGGCTCCCAGCTGTCAGCACAGAGCCCAACGCGGGGCTTGAACTCACGAACCGTGAGATCATGACCTGAGCCGAAGTCGGCACTCAACCAACTGAGCCCCCAGATGCCCCGTTCATTTCTTTTATTTTTTTTTTATTTTTTTTTAATGTTTTATTTATTTCTAGGAGAGAGAGAGAGACAGCGTGAGCAGGGGAGGGTCAGAGAGAGAGGGAGTCACAGACTGAAACAGGCTCCAGGCTCCGAGCTGGCAGTCAGCACAGAGCATGACGCGGGGCTCGAACCCACGAACCGCGAGATCATGACCTAAGCGAAAGTCGGACGCTCAACCGACTAAGCCACCCAGGCGCCCCCATTTCTTTTTTTTTTTAACACTGAAATCGTTGACCACTGGAACTTATTTTTGTGTCAAGAATGAGGATAACCCAATTCTGCTTCTCTCAGGGGAGTAGTTCCAATTTTCCCAAAGCCTCCCTTTCCCTGACGACATGGCCCTTAATGCTAACACCACATTCCTGTGCGTTGGGCTTATTTATGGACTGTGTGGTTCCAGAAAGCCACTCTGTGCCAGTAGTGTGTCATTTCAGTTATACTGATTATGACAGCTTCAGGATAAGTGCTGGCTATATTTGCCTATTTGCTTTTCTATTTTAGCTTAAAAAAATTTTTTTTAATGTTTATTTTTGAGTGAGAGACAGAACGTGAGCTGGGGAGGGGCAGAGAGAGGGGGAACACAGAATCTGAAACAGGCTCCAGCCTCCGAGCTGTCAGCACAGAGCCCGACGCGGGGCTCAAACCCACAAACCGTGAGATCATGACCTGAGTCGAAGTCGGACGCTTAACTAACTGAGCCACCCAGGTGCCCCTATTTTAGCTTTAGAATCACCGTTTGTGCTTTGAAGTATGGGGCGTGTGGCCTGTTCAGACGCTGCACAAACCTAAGAACAGCCACTCCTCTGCCTCACTCAGGTTTTCTCTGTGCTCAAGTCACGTGAAAATGCTCTTTCTGTGGACATTCTGTTTGCTGGAAACATGGCCTTCTGTTATACTGTGACTTTCTTGCTGATTCCCGTTCTCTGTTAAAGCTTCGTTCTTTCTGTAGTCACAGCTTTTTAGTTGCTTCTCCTAGATTTTGTGAGCACGCAGTCATTTATCCATCAGTCCTCTCACTTCTCCTTTCCGGTGTCATGGTTTCTCTCTGGTCGACGTCCCCGTCCCACTCACTCCACCAGGCTGGCCTCTCACGGCAGCAACCCGGCACCCGCTGCTACCTGACTGGGGGGCGCACAGTCTGCTCGGGCTGCCGGCCCCGCCCATCTCCCGGAGAGATGACCGTGACCACGCCTGCCCCGCTGCTGGGTTTCCCTGTCTGCTGCACTGGGCACAAAATTTAAGTCGCTACAGAGTTAGGAGAAACATGTAGTTCGCACAGCACAAGTTTTATTAATGTAATTTTAAGGCCAATTTAATTTTATTCAGAGTAAGTCTACATTAAATTACAATATTAACAATCTCTAGAGATAATGAACATAAAATTTAATAAGTAGAAATCTATTTGGTCTTTTATAGACCACAAATCATAGAACTCACAAATGAAAATTTACAAATGAGAAATAATGAGGATACTTGAAGGGCGAGATTTTCACGTGGAAACCCAGATGTCAGATTTTAAACAAGCATGTTTCAAAAAGGGAGAAATTTTTAATAATTTAGCACAAAATCAAATTCTATAAACTTGGTATATTCCAGAAAATATTGCTTTAAACACTTATATACCATGATCAAAATTCCTTTGGTAGCTTTTAATCAAAACGAAACATGCTATTATGTAAAATATAAAGTACTGTGAAATGTCACCAGGAGAGCGTCTGTTACAGTGCACGGTACTGACGCCGTCGGGCCCGCACCTCACCCGCACACACACAACATGAAACGAGGTGCCAACAAAATCCATTTAACCTTCTGACAAAATGCCTGCTCCCACCACCAGGACCCGAGTCCCCCGTCACCCCCGTCACGTGTACGGTGGCCACAGCGCCGACAGCGTGTCTCCCTGCACACGGCTGTAAAGCACGCCATCGGGCGGGCACTGCGGCTAACAAGTCAGGCAGCAGCTACCCGCGTGCGAAGAACAGGGTCCGTGAGACGCGATCTTAGAAGCGTGAGCACACACTACCCCCCTGAACCCCTAAACAGAAAATTTACCAACAACTCAGCGAAGTAGAACAAAGATGCTCGTGAGGCCACTGCAGCGAGCAGCAACCCCCCGGTGATGTCTCGGCCCTGAGAGGGGCCGTGGAGAAGCCTCACTCTAACAGTCCGTCCTCAGAGTGTCAAGCGTGGGAAATAAAGGGACGAACACGTCGGTAAAGATGCTGCATAAGTGGCGAGCCGGGGTGACACGGACCCGTTCTTCCTGACGCTCGCCGGCAAGGGGCTCTGGCCGCAGACTGGCGTGCCCGTTGGGCAGGAGCCCTGCCTGGTGCACGCCAGCCAGCGCCACGGCCCCTGCGCTGCACTGAGAGTCTTTTTAACCGCACGCCCGTGATCACACACACACGCCACACAGCACACTTTCAGCACCGTGCTCCCAGAGCGCGCCCAACGAGGGGCCTCTTTCACCCGGTATCTCCTTGTCCAATCTCAAAGTCATTCTGCACAGAGCAACTGAAGCAATTTAAACACCGAAAAGAGTAAGAGGAAGAAATGGAGGGAAAGACACAGATGCCGCTGGCCAACGCTCAGGCTTTGTGAAGGGTGATCCGAGAATCATCCTCTGTCGAATCCATTAGTCTCCATGCTGGCCCCATCTCAGAGGTCCTGGAAACAGCACAGAAATGCTTCACCACCCTGAAGATACATTCTAGAGTCTTCGCTGAGAACACAGGGGGCCGACATATCAGGCCACGTAGTGGTACTGGTTCGGATTGTCTTTGTCTCTCTCCATATAGTCTCTGTCTATAAGAGATTCAATTCTCTTTTTCAAATCTCCAGGCTAAAAAGAGAAACAAAATCCCTCAATTATAGTGGCATTAAATTTACAAACACAGGGAAACATGACATACGACAAAGCATGTGATTATAGTTACACATGTGATTCTAGAAAATACGTGTATCTGTATGTAAAGTACTTATGATTATAACCTAATTATAAAACGAGTACGATCAAAGTCCCAACTTCAGAGACGACCCTAACTCGATCCCTTGTGCGAGCGCTTCATGTGAGCTCACCGTCCGGGCAGGCTGATGGGGAGGGCGTGACGCGTTCCTCCCCTGCACGAACAAACACCTAAGCGGGGCACATCCTATTGGGCACCACGTTCTCATCTGTGGCAAAGGGAAATCTCCGTCTCAGGCGCCTCCACCCTCCGCAAGGACATCTCTCCCTACGTCCTGCATCTCCTGCGCATGCTGCTGAGGCCGCGTGGCTGCAGGTCTGCAGATGACCAACGCCGTGACAAGCAAGCCCGGCGAGGGCGTCTCCCGCTCCACCGTGGTAGAAAGCACACTTACGTTGACGTTTATGAGCAAGCTTCTCCCTTAAAAGGCACACCCGTCAAAAGGCCTAACTTTCTATCGAGTGACGGATCACGCATTCACGAGATGTGGGTGAGACCCACAGAGGCTCTGCCGGGGCAGAGCCGGCTGCTGCACCGCCACACCTGCCCCCCACCAGTCAGGCCTTTAACCGCGGGGCCTCTCATCTCTAAGAGGGAAAAGGGGCGCTCGCTCTAGCTCGAGGTGGGAAGAAGGTGCACGCAGCAGTGCTGAACGCCCGCGCCTGCATGGGGAGGACACAACAGCCCGGTGCTCGCTCAGGGAGCATGGTCCGCTCTCAGTGAGGATGGAGGGTCGGCTGCTCGCCTGCCGAACGGGACCCCACAGAACCAGGGAGCTGCACCCCACAGGCCCTGTCACTGTGGGGCCCGGTCCCCCGAGTCCCATACTCCCAGGCAGGGACAGCTGGCTTAAGAGCTCTTCCCAATGCTCCCTCCCTGGTCAGGGCTCCACGAATGGCCAAGGGCAGGATCTCCGGCCCAGAAGCAGGCAGGCACAGACAGGTTTCGGGGTGGACTTTCTTCTGCAGAGAAACGAGGGGGTGTCACCGACATAGAAACTGCTCTGGAGCCCGTCGGTGCTGGATGCACTGGCAGCTCGTAGGGCTTCCTCGGAATCCCATGGCGTCATCTCAATGGCGAGGCCACCAGAAACCGCACCTGGGGCTGGAGCGCGCCCCCCCCCAACAAGGTGGCAGTTTTAGGGACCCCTTGTTCCTGGGACGGTGACAAAGAACATGTGGATAAAGACCCTGCTGTCTCCACTTGCCACTTTTTCGACATTCGGTGTACACACAGGTGGGCTTCTGCAGCAAATGGTCCCTCGATGCAGGACAAAGGACTGAGGTGTTAAGAACCGAACATGCTTTTCTGGTATTTCTGCACGCGCTCGGGGACACTCACCTTTACTGGAAATTTCAGCTGATTATACAATTCAGAAACTAGAAGATTATGACTAAGAGTCTTTCTCATCTTCATTATTCTGACAATAGCAGCGTCGATCTGATACTGTCTGTCCTGAAACACTCTCTCGGTGGTGCTGGCTTGTTCCTCGACCTGCAGCCACATACACAAGCGAAAGGGAAGATACGGTTCAGTGTCATTTCACAGTGTTGAGTTTAAGGAGAGAATTTTTTTTTCCAATTTGAGAGAGAGAGGGAGAGAGAGAGAAAACAGGTGAGCAGGGGGGCAGGGGTGGGGGAACTTTAAGGAGGTCCCATGCTCAACACAGACCCTGACGCAGGGCCTGATCTCAGGACCAACTGCGAGATCAGGACCTGAGCCAAAGTCGGACGCTTAGCTGACTGAGCCCCCCAGGCGCCCCATGCAGTTCCCTCTTAAAAAAGCTACAAAACACTATCAACTCTATAGAATGCCGGATTAGGTGCAGCAGCACAGTAGAGAAAGCAGGACAAAGCACAACAGCTGTCCGTGTCTATTCCAGAAACGTTAGCTTTGCTCAGCATCAGGAAACCCAGGAGTGGGACGAGGCTCACACAGCTGTGTCGAGGTCACAGGGGTTACGTGACGTCTCGACAGATGCTGCAAAGACACAAAGAAACGGAAAACCTATCCTTGATCTAAAACAAACTTTAACACACAAATAGCAATTAAAAAGACCCTCACCGCCCCCCCAAACATGATGAAAAGCTGTGACCAGAAGCAAAGAGCAGACCCCGGTGACAGAGGCCTACAGGCCAGGGGAGGCGGGTCTACACATGCACATAAGGTGAGTCAGCTTCAGAAAGGGAGAAGCCACACCTTCACTGCACGTCCACAGGGTCTGCCGTCCCGAAAAGGCTACTGCTCCCCGCACTTGAGATAAAAAAATCAGGAAGTGAAGAAAAAGCCTGGGAGCACCATTATTTCAAAAAACTGCTATTTCGGAGGTTCTAGCTGAGCAGTAAGAGAATGAAAGAGCGATAGCGACTAGGAGCCGACACACGGCGATTATCTGTAGATGCACTACGAATCCCAAATCCAAGACAATCAAGTGGACACCATCAAAGGCACTGAGAATGCCGTGAAGGGGGTGGACACGGAAGGGTGCACGGAGCTGAACGGTGTCATCTACATCTGCTGGCAACGCCCCGCATGTGTGTCAGCAGAGAAGAGCCCCTTTGTAGGCGCTGGGGGTATACTGGCCCTTCTTGCTCAAAACCGTCAGGGCTTCACCAGAGTCTCCACAGCTCTGACCAGTCTCTGTGTCACCTGCGGGTGGGCCATCTCCCCTGGCCCAGTGTGCCTGCGGCGGGAAAGCTGTCTCTGGCCCACAGTACTGGGCTCCGCCTTCCTCTTCCACCTCAAGTGCAAGACGTTAGAGCATGTGTGACCATCCGGTACCTGTCTGCTGAAAAGTTCCGTGAAATGAACAGTTATAAGAGTAAGTTCTTATTCACGGATGAATTCTCAGCGCTTCACGGAGGACCTGGACCACAGTAGGTGCTTAACGAGTATTTGTTGAACCATCTGATAAGAAATATGCCAAGACTTTTCGTAGAAAACTGCCACGAAGAGAAGACGTTTACATTTATGTGCGTGCAAACAGACATGCCTCAGATTTGGCACGGCCACGATGAACACCACAGATTATGTGCTGCACTCCGAACAAGAAATGGTAGTGTTCTTATTTGGAGGACAAAGACCAATAAAATTATTCTCAAACTTACTGGGAGAATCAATTTATAGGAATAGGTACATTAATTAAAAGAATTTGGGTCCTGGATACAAAACAGATCAATACAATTTGTAGAACAGAATTAAAAAACGGATTCATAATATGTGAATTTAATATATAACAAAGGTAACAATTCAAATAAATGGTCAGAGAATGGTATTTTCAATTCAGTTTTAGAATAAGAAGGGTAGATTGCTTTTCGATACTAAAAAAATTTCCACACTGCTCAAAGAAAAACTTAAATGTAAAAATTACTGGAAAAATATAAGTAATTTTTTAAAAAATGTTGGGTTAGGGACTCCTGGGGGCTCAGTTAAGTGTCTGACTTCGGCTCAGGTCATGATCTCACGGTTCATGGGTTCGAGCCCCGCGTCGGGCTCTGTGCTGACAGCTCAGAGCCTGGAGCTGTTTCAGATCCTGTGTCTCCCTCTCTCTGACCCTCCCCTGCTCACATGCTGTCTCTTTCAAAAATAAGTATTAAAACAAAAAGATGAAGAATCGAGGATCAGAAAGACATGACCTGCACAAGTTACTCAGCGGCATAAAGATGCGCAAAGAAAGTCAAGCTAAAATGGCAACGAGCCATCCAGTGTCTGCTGGAAGCGGGAGGGGAAAGGGAGGCGGACGGAGGGCCAGGCCTCTTGTGAAACTGGGCCCTGAAATCCGGGAAAACCTGTCAGGCTGCCGTTTGGAAAAGAGGCCAAACTAACAAAAGTCCACGTTCTTTGACCCTGTAATTACAGGGCAAAGATTTTATACTAAAGAAAAAAGCTGATAGGTACTTATTTCCCGTAGAGATGGAAACAACCTAGACGCCTTTCCCCAAAGGCGCTGCCAAGCTCCCGAGTCACATGAGTAACTACTCTGCGCCCTTGAGAATCCAAGCCCTGACACGGAAAGACCCGTAACAATGAGTAAGACCAGGTCACACGATGACACATACAGATGCCATATGCACAGTGATCTCGTTAAAGAAAAAATAAGATTCGTCCACACCACAGGAAAAAGCTGCACATCAAAGCAGCAGGAGAGGTCATCCGGGCGGGGAAGAAGAGGTGATGGTCCCGCTTTGAAATCTAGCTCCAAACCTTTACACCTTTTAATCACTCTATTACAGAGATTCCTAATAGTAAAAAAAAAAAATTGGGTCAAAGAATATATGTATTTGAATCTTTAACAAATTACTCACTAAAGGCATCTTTTAAAAAATAAAAGCATCGGGGGCGCCTGGGTGGCTTAGTCGGTTAAGCGTCCGACTTTCGCTTAGGTCATGATCTCGCGGTTCGTGGGTTCGAGCCCCGCGTCGGGCTCTGTGCTGACTGCCAGCTCAGAGCCTGGAGCCTGTTTCAGTCTGTGACTCCCTCTCTCTCTGACCCTCCCCTGCTCACGCTGTCTCTCTCTCTCTCCTAGAAATAAATAAAACATTAAAAAAAATTAAAAAAAAAATAAATAAAAGCATAAGCATGCCTGGGGGGCTCAGTCGATTAAGCGCCAACTTCAGCTCAGGTCACGACTTCAGTCTGTGAGTTTGAGCCCTGCATTGGGGGCCATGATGACAGCTCAGAGCCCACTTGGGATTCTGTCCCCCCCATCCCTCCGCTCCTTGCTCTCTCTTCCTCAAAAATAAACATTGAAAAATAAAATAAAAACATAAAAAGAACGCCAGTTTTCCCATATACTTGCCGACTCTGGACATCATCAAACTTTCAAACATTTCCCAAGTTGACATGAAAAGTGGAGTATTATTTTATCACAATTTTTGTTTATTTGAAGGAGAGCGCGCACAGTGGGGAGGGGCAGAGAGAAGGGAGAGAGAGCATCCCAAGTAGGCTCCGTGAGGTCAGCGCAGAGCGCCGTGTGGGCCCGGTCCTGTGAACCGTGAGATCAGGACCTGAGCCCACATCACAAGCCCACTGCTTATGAATCTAAACTTCTTTTCTGACCGGGCTCCACGCGGACGCTCTGGGTGAGTGGCTGGCCAGGCCCCGCTGCCGGGGGCGGAGAGGCTGTGACACCACCCTCGTCTTGTCTGCCAAGCCCTCCCGGGGCCTCTCGTTTACACGCAGGGCCCCTGCCCCCCAGCCGGCCCGGGGGACAGCACGTGGGGCCGCGGAGCAGGGCCTGCTCCAGGCACGAGACACGGAGTGTCCTCGCTGCGCAGGCTGCAGGGTCTCTACAGCCGCCACCCTCACCCCCACCCCCCTCCTCCATCAAGGGGCTCCCGCAGGCCTCAGCAAATGACCGTACAAACTACCGAGTCCCGGGGAGCACCCTGCGAGTGAAGCGAGGAAGCTTATACGTACGGTCTCTTTCATCTGGATCTGGTTGATCTTTATTCGAAACAACTTGTGCTTGAACTCCCCGTTGAATGTGAACGTGTCGCCATCCTCCACCTCCTTCCCCTTGGGGCTCTTGACCAGCACCCGTGCTTTGCCGCAGGCCAGGGACTGCAGCGTTCTCCGCAGCTCGCCGTCCTCTGGGAGGGAGAGAACCGGGCACAGGCTCGCACTGGAATGAGCCCGACACGCGACACCGGTGAGAGACACCACGCTCCCACGTGCGAGGGGCAGAGAGCGGGCTGACATCTAACCACAAGGCCACGCGGAGACCACGCGTTCACCAGGAGAACTCTCACCTATCCCTGTGGCCAGTTTTATTTCTTCGAAGCTGAACCCATCCCCTTCGTTGAACATGAGGAGCACCAGCGTCTGGAGCAGGGACACCTGGAATTCCTTCTTTCCCTTCAAGAAAACGGGAGGTATCGCGAGTCAACCTGTCCGTAACATCTTTGGAAAAGTTTAAAAGGTTTCTTTTTGCTCCCAAACTCTGTGGGGTGAGGGGCTGGGAAATTAGTAATCAGCTATCAAACGAGAAATTAAATAACCGATCATATAAGAATAAAAGGACTCAATATTACATTTGAAAACTTCTCTCTTGAAGTATGTTTCAAAGCAGTGAAGTTCTTTAGTAAATCGTGTTGAACGAGAGGAGTACTGGGTTACTCAAGTCGCACATGGAGCGCCACTTGGAGCGGCACGTGTCCTCTGAACGGTGGTGGGAGTGCCGGGGGTGGGGGTGGGGGCAGCCCACGGACGGAAGTGGGCAGGTCTGGCGCCAGCCTTTTAATGTTAAAAGACTGAGTGAACGACTAAGCACTCAGATCGTCATGAACTTGGCCCAGTCTCCCTCTGCATGTGCCTGGGACACGCACAGCACGTGCAAACTGGGCCTTGGACCTCATGGCACCTCCCGCTCCCGCTCCCGCTCCCAAAGTCCCCACGGCAGGGCCCACCACACGCACGCACACGGTGAGCGGTGTGTGCAGGAAAGCGGCTGGGCTCGAGAGGAGGCTTCATCCCCGGGACGAGCCTCGGCGGAGGCAGGAAGGAGCGGGTGGGAGGAGGAAGGGGGGGTGGGGAGGTGCAGAGCCCCACCGGTCTGCAGAGGCAGGTGACAGTATGTGCAGTTTATATACACTATCCCCGCATGGGGCGGTTTATCGGATACAGCGCCCAGTGCATGGTGACCGCCAGAGAAATAGCAATTTTGTAAATACTCTGCTTAGTGTACACAAGTGATCTTATTGACAGCTTCAAACAGGAATTTGAAGACCCTGTCTGGTGACCTGCTTTTCTGTTATGAGAACACTGCACTTTCCTCTTGTGCGGTGTCCCTCTTCGTAACAGCACCGCGACAAGCGGCCTCATTTACTACTCTGTGAAAACGTCTCATTAAGATCGATTTCTGGAACCGGCGCTAGCCTAACAAAGCTGTGACTCTGGAGGCGGGAGCGCGCGGCCACGCCCCTTCTGCACAGCGTCCGCAGCAGGCGCTGTTCTGTGAAGTTTCAGCCTTGATCATTCAGTGGCATTTCAGTGGCTTATAACTGCAAGCCTTTGGCAGAAAAATAGAGCAGATTTTCAATGAATTTGATTTCTTAGTCTTGCTTTAATGAGCTGCCTCTTCACATCCTTTGCCTTCTCTCTTTTCTAAGCCTGGAAGCTTCACACATTCGGGGTTGCCACGCAGATCTCTGCATTCCAATTCTAGCACATGTGCTGCTGAAGCGCACACTCCTTTGCTCTTTTTTTCAACTAGGTAAATGCCTATTTTTATTGACTTTTATTGATTGGAATATTAATCCTTAGGCTGTTTATTATTATTGACCAAGAAAAGACAGTACTGAGTTATACTGAATGATCTTTTCCTTTGTTTGCTACCAAAGTTCAACCACAATTTAAAGTATTCTATTAACATATTTATAGAAAACACACGAAACAGACAAAGAACTTACTTCCTTAAACTCTGCTTTTAAAACAGCATGGCCCAGCGTGGTTTGCCACTGAAGTTTTCGACCACTATGTTTTCCAAGATAAAATGTCTTAAATATTTCCTGAAGTTTAACCATCTGCCAAGCACAGGAAAACAACAAATTTAATTATGCTAAACACCATACATCTAAAGAATCACACACTGCTCAATTTACAAAGTTTTCAAAATTTTTCACAGCCGAATGAAAAGATCAGTTCTGCATTTTGATAGCTGTTTTTCTGGATGATTCTATTACAGGTGAGAACGTGTGCCGCTTGGCACTGCTTCAGGCGGTCCTTCCTGCACTACAGGTCGTGTCCTGTGTCCCCACGCCCCGCGGCTCTCGCAGGGCCAGGGCACACGCAGGCCGTCGCAGCCCCACTGCATCCCGCCAGCTGTCGTGCGGCCGGGGCGCTGCTGTGAGGCACCCGGCACATGGTTGCCTCGGAGGCAGGTCGGCCACTGTTTCCACGGTTACTTTCTGGGAGGACTTCTCTCACCTTCTACACTTTCTAATTTTTTTTTTTTTAAGTTTATTTATTTTTGAGAGAGAGAGAGGGAGCGCGTGAGCGCAAGCTGGGTAGGGGCAGAGAGAGAGGGAGAGAATCCCAAGAAGGCTCTGAGCTGGCAGCACAGAGCCCAACACGGGGCTCGAACTCACGAACCCCAAGATCATGACCTAAGCCGAAGTCAAGAGTTGGACACTCAGCCGACTGAGCCCCCAGGTGCCCCTCTCACGGTTCTTTCCTGCTGTGCTCTCACTTCTTTGGGGCCCAGCCCCCCCTGCCCCCCGCCTCCCCCCAGCATCCGACTCTTAATTACAGACGGGCGTTCCGGTCTGACTGACTGGGTGCGCTTCCTGGTGTGCGGCGCACTCCCGATCCCTTCCCTTGCTCGGTTCCCGGCCGTTCTCACCACCCTGCCAAGGTCTGTGCTGCCAAACCTGGCGGCCCCAGTCAGGCCTCATCGGAAACAGCCTGGTGCCAGGCAGCCTCCCTTAGACCTCCGTGTCTCTGTACACGTCCCTTCCTTCCGAGATCTCCGTGGTGTGTCTACCTCCCGCCCCGGACACATGGGCGGCCACAGGGCCGCGTGCCCGCCATCCCGCGCTCTGCTCTCGCCCTGCCAGTGCCCACGGCTGCTCCCGAGTTCTCAGGATACGGTCAAACTCTTGGGGCGCCCGGTGGCTCAACTGGTTAAGTGCCTGACTCTTGATTTTGGCTCAGGTCATGATCTCACAGTTTGTGAGCTCAAGCCCGACATGTTGATGGGGGGGGAGGGGGGCCGCTTAGGATTCTCTCTCTCTCTCTACCCCTCCCCTGCTCATGCTCAAGTATGTGTGCATGCTCCCCCTGCCCTCAAAAATAAACTTAAAAAATAAAAAAAAAAAAGATTCAGGGGCGCCTGGGTGGCTCAGTCGGTTAAGTGTCCGACTTTGGGTCAGGTCACGATTTCACGGCTCCTGAGTCTGAGCCCTGCACTGGCTCTCTGCTGTCAGCACAAAACCCACTTCAGATCCTCTGTCCCCTTCGCTCTCTGCCCCTCCCAGCTCGCATGCTCTCTCTCAAAATCCAAGGCTTGCCAGGACCCCGGCCGTCAGAGCCGCTCGCCGCACCCACCTGTCCCTTGTTTCCTCCACTGAACTGAGCGCGCGTGCTGTCTTCCTTCGGGCTTCCGTCTACGGATCCACCTCCGAACCCCCCCGCTCATCTTCAGAGCCCCCTCCTCACAGAGGCCTGCTCCAACCAGACTTGGCTCTGAGGGCATTTATAGCAATGTGTGACTGTCCCTCTGGACAGAGAGCTCACGGCATCAGCAGGTGCATGGGAGCGAAGGCTGGCTCTGCCTGCCCGGGGCACCTGTCAGCATCTCGGCTCCGTCCGAGTGGCACCCCCGTCAGAGTGCCGTCGGCCTCACGTCCGCCAGACAGCCCTGTCCTCAGGGTTCAGAACTATCACCCACACCCACCACCCATGTTCAACCACAGCACATCCCAGGCACGGTATCATTTCGTCTCTAAGTATTTTCACATATATCTGAAAGACAACAACTCTTTCCAAAAACATCTAGGGGCGCCTGGGTGGCTCAGTGGGTTAAGCATCCAACTGTTGATCTCAGGGTAGTGAGTTCAAGCATCACGCAGCCTCCCAAAGGAAGGAAGCATGACCTAGGCTACAACACAGATGGGCCTTGAGGCCAGGACGCCCAGTGAAAGAGGTCAGACACAAAAGGCCACCAAGTGTGAGTGCAGTTATGTTAACACCCAGAGCAGGCACATCTGGAGTCTGTGGCCCAGCAGGTGCCCTGGCCTGGGCGCTGGAGCGGGAGACAGTGCTCACCCCACGGGTGCAGGGTTCTGTTTGCCATGAAGACGACGTTTTGAACTAGACAAAGGTGCCGCTCAGCTGTATGGCTTAAAGCGGTGAGCTGTAATTCGCTTCTCCCTCGGTTTACTATGTGTCTATACTGCTTCTCCCACAGCTTACTCCTCTGCGTCCACACCGCTTCACCCACAGGTTACTCCTCTGCGTGTACATCGCTTCTCCCAGGTTTACTCCTCTGTGTCTACACCGCTTCCACTTCTCCCACGTCTTACTCCTCTGTCTACACTGCTTCACCCACGGCTTACTCCTCTGCATCTACACCGCTTCTCCTAGGCTTACTCCTGTCTACACCGCTTCACCCACAGCTTATTCCTCTGCATCTACACCGCTTCTCCCACAGCTTACTCCTCTGAGTCTATACTGCTTCTTCCAGGTTTACTCCTCTGTGTCTACACCTTCTCCCACAGCCTACTCCTCTGCGTCTACACCACTTCTCCCAGGCTTACTCCTCTGGGTCTACACCTTCTCCCACAGCCTACTCCTCTGCGTCTACACCACTTCACCCAGGCTTACTCCTCTGCGTCTACACCGCTTCTCCCAGGCTTACTCCTCTGGGTCTACACGCTTTACCGAGGCTTACTCCTGAGTGTACACCGCTTCTCCCAAGCTTATTCCTCTGTCTACACCGCTTCACCCAGGCTTACTCCTCTGCATCTACACCACTTCACCCAGGCTTACTCCTCTGCGTCTACACCTCTTCACCCATGGCTTCCTCCTTTGCGTGTATATCGCTTCTCCCACGGCTTACTCTGTGTCTACACCGCTTCTCCCAGGCTTATTCCCCTGTCTACACCACTTCACCAAGGCTTACTCCTGTCTACACTGCTTCACCCAGGCTTACTCCCCTGCGTCTACACCACTTCATCCAGGCTTACTCCTCTGCGTGTATACCGCTTCACCCAGGCTTATGCCTCTGCGTCTACACCACTTCACCCAGGCTTACTTCTCTGCATCTACACTGCTTCTCCCATGGCTTACTCCCCTGCATCTACACCGCTTCACCCAGGCTTACTTCACTGCGTCTATACCGCTTCATCCAGGCTTACGCCTCTGCATCTACACAACTTCACCGTCTGTGTCTACACTGTTTCTCCCATGGCTTAATCCTTTGCATCTACACAGCTTCACCCAGGCTTACACCTCTGGGTCTACACCGTAGACAGTTTTACAAGGCACAGTATGAGGAGCCTTCAACATCTCTTGCTAGACAACAGAAAAGTACCAGGAACCCACAAGGGTCAGCACAGGGACAGAGGGGCCGACGGGGCTCTGGAAGCCGGACGGGAGACAGCAGGGGCCCCGGAGCGAGCAGCCAGGAGTCCACAGGTCTGTGAGTCTGTCCAGAGGAGGACAGGGAAGGTCGCGGTTCATCAAGGTGACAGTGGGCCTGAGCAGGGATTGCCCAGCCCAGCAGGAGAATCCAGTGGGGAAGAGGTTCACGTGACATCCACGTACCTTCCCGCAGATTACTTCAAAGTTATGAAAGGAGAAGTATTAACCACACAGACAAGAAGGCAGCTAACCCTTAACCAAGGATCACTGGGGACATCAGCCACAGATGGGACGGACGACAGGTGCCTCCTGACGTGTGGCTGGCTGAGCGATCGTGTGGGGTTCTCTCTGGACGCGCCCAGCGAACACAATTCATGAGGACAGGCGTGCAGCTCTGAGACGTGCGAGCGTGAAGGAAGAAGAGGCTGGTGTAGCTGACACAGGAGGAGGCCAGGGGTACCGGCCGTGGGGCCTGGACGGCGTCGGCACGAAGGCGGAGAGGGCGAGAGGGCGCCCTCAGGATAAACTCCCGAGGTAGCTGTCTGACTCCACGGCATCTCGGGGGGTGCCCACTAACGTGCTTGGGCGGGAGGTACGATGCAGCCTCTCTCTAGCGTCAGTGCTGACCACACAGGCCACACGTCCTGGGGGTGCTGTGAACTATTCCCGCAAAGTCTCTGCAAGTGTGTGTGGCCTCAAGATAAGCAAAAGCCCTCAGAGGGTCACAAGAGGCACACCCAGACGGGCCTCCCTGGCCCGGCAGGCAGGGTGAGGGGGGACAGCGGGTTTTCTGGAGAAGGGGTCTGGGGAGGGAAGTCTTAACCAGCAGTCAAGTGCTAGGGACGGACGGGGCCGGAGCGAGGCTTGCTGGATGGGCTCACTTGGAGGGGGGCACACAGGCCCTGGAGAAGGTGGGAACTGGGGGCGTGGAAGCCGCAGGCGGCTCGGGACACAGCGGTGGCAGCTGCGGACGACAGCCACTCGGGGAGGGAGGAGGGGGGACAGCAGTCGGGGCGCTGAGCGTGCGGTGTCCGTGCGTGCGCGCTCAGGCCCATGGATGCAGGCTGGAGGCTGAGGGCCCGTGTGGGCCGAGAGGGGCCGACGGGCTCCGGGAGCGTAGCGTGCGGAGCAGGGGCGGGGGCGACCAGGGGAACACGAGGAACACGGTAGGTCACCTGTACGTCAACAACCCACGACAACAAACGCAAAAGGGAGAGAACTACAAAGGCAGCCAGTGATCAGAGACAGAAGAAAATCCTGAAAAGAGTCTTGGAAACGGAATGAACAGCCTCAGGACAGGCTGTCCCTGGCCCAGGCTCCCAGGTGCCTATACTGGTCTTTCTAGAAGGCCCTGGTGCCTGCTGTTCTTTCCTCCCGGCCCCGCACCAAACCAGCCTCCATCCCGTCACCTACAATCACGATTAATGGCCCTCGGGCTGATGGTGACTAAGCTCCCGAGCCCAGGACCCTCCCGCCCCGTCTGCAAGCCCCCGGTGTGCCCACGGTAGCAGCGGACGCGCGAGGACCTGAGCAGCGGCGCCCACAGGCGCGCAGTGGGACGGGATGCCCGGCAGCGCCCGTGCCCCTCCCCCACGGCCAGCCGGCGCACTCGGGCCGTCGGGAGTCAGGTGAGGACACAGGCCGTCCCGGAGAGACGCTGCTTTCCAGAGGCTGCGAGGACCCTGCAGTTTTGCTTTTATGATTTTAAAAGGCTTCTCCTTAAACACGTGACAGGTGGCATCTCTTGTGCATGGTACCTGTGTAAGAAGGCCACAGGGCGGCGCCTGCGCGGCTCAGCCGGTCAGGCGTCCAGCTTTGGCTCAGGTCATGATCTCGAGGTCTAGGAGTTCAAGCCCAACATCGGACTCTCTGCTGTTGGCGGGGAGCCCACCTCAGATCCTCTGCCCCTCCCCGACTTGTGCACTTCCTTTCTCTCTCTCTCAAATAAAACATTTAAAACAATTATTAAAAATATATTTGGTTTCCACAACTATTCCCCAAACATATTAAAAAAAATTTTTTTGATGTTTATTTATTTTTGGGAGAGAGACACAAAGCGTGAGCAGGGAAGGGCAGAGAGAGAGAGAACAGAATCTGAAACAGGCTCCAGGCTCTGAGCTGTCAGCATGGAGCCCACGAACTGTGAGATCATGACCAGAGCTGAAGTTGGACATTTAGCCGACTGAGTCCCCCAGGTGCCTGTTCCCCAAACACTTTTAAAAATTCACTTCAGTGGGGCACCTGGGTAGCTCATCGGTTAAGCATCTGACTTCGGCTCAAGTCATGATCTCATGGTTCGTGGGTTTGAGCCCCGCGTCGGGCTCTGTGCTGACAGCTCAGAGCCTGGAGCCTGTTTCAGATTCTGTGTCTCCCTCTCTCTCTGACCCTCCCCTGCTCACTCTGTCTCTCTCTCTCTCTCTCTCTCAGAAATAAATAAAACATTAAAAAAAAATTTACTTCAGGGATGCCTGTGTGGCTCAGTCTGTTAAACATCCAACTCTTGGCTTTGGCTCAGGTCATGGTCTCACGGTTTGTGAGTTCGAGACCCGTGTTTGGCTCTGCTGACAACTCAGAGCCTGGAGCTGCTTCAGATTCTGTCTCCCTCTCTCTCTGCCCCTCTCCCACTCGCACTCTGTCTCTCTCTCTCTCAAAAATAAATAGCACTTTGGCAACACTGATATATGAAAAATAAAGGGTAAAGGCTCTTTGAAACACTTACTTCTGGAGTTAAATGCACTTCCATAGGGGTGTATGTTGGCCAGTATCCCATTGTAAGTATGTTCACTGTTAGATCTATACAGCCTGGATCGCTTTGATTCTGCATATACTGAAAACAAAGAAAACCAAGATAAAACAGTTACTGTAGAGTATCATCAAAAATAACTAGCTTATTAAAGAGTGAACGGTGTAATTTCCAAAATGCAGCTCCACACGTGTTTGGATCTAGTCCTAAGAAGACACAGCCCCAGAAGCCACACATGTTCCAAAAGCACGTGGGGCATTTTTCCTTTTCTGGTGATGTTACCGATGCAGGATATGATGGTACTTCTTTAAGTCAAAATTTTTTATACATTTTTACGGGTTACTTTTCTTTTTCACTTTGAACTTTAGTTATTTGAACTCGTGGACGTGAGCAGTGTGATTCTTGAGGCGGAGGGTTTTGCGTGGCTTACGCCACCTCCGCGCACAACTTAAAGTGGGGAGGCCCCTGTAGGGCTAACGCGAAACAAATAGAGCTTGCCTGCTTGAACTGCACCATGATGTCCTTGGACAGCTCCATGTCCTTGAACATGCCCTCCAGCTTGCTGGTGAACGCCGCGCCGCACTCTGGGACACAAGCGGAGGCGTGAGCACCCCGGGGGACAAGGCCAGCGCACGCAAGGGCACACCCCGGGGCCCACACGCTTACCGTGCTTTAGTTTGGACAACATAGACTTTTCGGCATCTACTGAGGCACTTTTTCCAACAAGGAGTCTTTTTGCCAAATCTTTTTTATAAAAGGCTTCAAAGACATCTTTCCCTGTTCATAAATAAGCAAATGAAAATGGCGTGAGACGTTGGACCATTAACACGCACTCACTCAGCAGGGGCCCGTGAGGGACATCCGCGCAGGAGGAGGCCCACGCTGCTGTCGGCGGGCGCCCACCCCCATTCCCTGCGGGGACACGGAAGCGGGAACGTTTCCGTCCGTCCGTCTCAAGGAAACGCGGGCCCTGCATGCGGACGCGCCGCCTCATCCCTCCGTGCTCAGGGGCGACAGGAACAGCACCAAGCGTGTCTCACCATGAATGAACCTGAATATTATCATGACCTTGTCGAGAATCCTCTCCAGCTCCTCATCGGTCGCTTCTTTATTGCCCGCTCGCAACTTTGAATCAACATGTTTTGCTGTGAGAGTAAAAGTTTAAAATATTTGAAAAACAAATATTTGTTGTATAATACACTTTCTAAATAGAAAAAAAAGAACATCTTTATTTCTATAAGCAAAAAGTAGACAGCAACACTCTAGAACCTTTCCAAAAATATTTTACTTTATGACAAAAGGAAGATTTTGTTATTTTTCTAAGAAAAGTATTTTCAAGTCATGTGAGAATAAATAATGACACTATTACTCCAGAAACCGGAGGGCCCTGCCTTCAAGACGCGGCACGCTTGAACACAGGGGAGAGCGATGCCGCAGACCGGCGGTGCCTTCTAGAAGCCCAAACCCCAAGAGTCCCGTATCCATCTCTGGAAACCACAATCCAGAAGGTGGTATAAGAGGCCAAAGTAAACTGCCTTGTGAATTTTTTGTGGTTGTTGCTGCATTTTTATTTTTTTAAAATTTAATTTTTTAAAGTAATCTTGGGGCGCCTGGGTGGCTCATCGGTTGAGCATCCGACTTCGGCTCAGGTCATGATCTTACGGTTCGTGGGTTCAAGCCCCGTGTCGGGCTCTGTGCTGACAGCTCAGAGCCTGGAGCCTGTTTCAGATTCTGTGTCTCCCTCTCTCTCTGACCCTCCCCTGCTCACACTGTCTCTCTCTCTCAAAAATAAATAAAACATTTAAAAATAAATAAATAAATACATAAAGTAAACGTGGGCCTCGAACCCACAACAGCAAGATTAAGAGTCATACGCTCCACTGGCTGAGCCAGCCAGATGCCCCTTTTCTTGCTGCTTTTATTAATTTTTTCCCTTCACAACTTTTTATGAAATCCTCTGAACACACACAGAGGTAGACGAATGCATAATAAACCCCATGTTCCCATCACACAACCTCAATGATCGTCAAGAGGCCCCATGCTGAATCACTATTATCACATCTTTTTTTGCCCTTTGCCTGAACATTGTCACCGACTAGTGAGAGTCCACGATCCTGAAATACGCTCTGGTGTTTCCACCACGTAATCACATAAAGTGATAAAAACGGTTTCATCTTAAAATATGTGATCTTTTAAGACCTCATCCAATTCTATCCTACTTTAATACTGGTGAGAGAATGCAAAGACCGGACACGATACATCTTCATGCCAGACGTGCCCCAGAGGCTGACCGTGTCACCCTCGTAACACCGGGCATTCGTGTGTACCAAACCCTCTTCTCCCAGCTTCGGAGCACAAACCACTGGCTGTGCTCGAGACAGAACCAGAGTCCATCCTTACCGACCGCGGCTCTGGAGCAGCCGGCCCCAGAAGCACGGGCGGGGCACAGCCGGACTGTCTCTTCCTTCTTCTGGGACATCAAGCTGCTCCTTTCTCCCTGACAAATGCCGCGTGCGTGTCCACACACAGGGTACGTGTATGCACAACAGGGCATAATACGACTCCTTCCCCACCCTTCCCAAGGGGAACTTGAAGATTCTGGGGAAATTTTCTGCTTAAGTTCTGCTTTCTTTTCCCATATTAAAACAATGTCTGGAAATGCATTTCTACCTATGAGTTCTGCGGGCTTATTCGGCCTCTTATTGATAAACGTCTCAAAGGACTCCTTCATCAAGTTGATGAACTTCTCGTTCCTCTGGAAGCACACTTCTATCACGTGGTCCACCCGGTCCTTAAAATCCAGCAGGTCTTGTACCATATCTTTGTCCTTCTCAGGATTGATGACAATTGTTGTCCCGAAAGTCTACGAGAACACACACCGAATCAGCGGCAGGTACCACACATGCTCTCCTGCTACTGATCATGAGACTTTAATATAAATAATCACTGCTTGTGTCAAATACTAAACCATTTCAAAAGTCCACAAATTCAGTCCACATTCAAGAAGTTAAGTGAATATACAATTAATGCTTTGGTGTTTGAATTCTGCTTTTGGAAGAAGTTATTAGTGGGAAAATGTCCATCGCTTAAAAACAGCAACAACTTTAACTGGGGCACCTGGGTGGCTGAACACCAGTTCGGCTGAACATCCACCTGTTGATGCCAGCTTGGGTCATGATCTCACATCACAGTCTGTGAGTTCAAGCCCCGTGTTGGGCTCCATTGGGATGCTCTCTCTCTCTCTCTCTCTCTGCCCCCCCAACCCCTCAAAAATAAATTAACATTAAAAACCCCAAAACTTTCACTTATAAATTTCTCAGACATTCCCATTAACCCAACATGCCTCCTTAGACTTCTTGACTATAATTTCCTTTCTCTTCCACTGCTAAGCAAGGCCCAGTTTTAGGCTGTATTTTTAACTCAAAAATGCTACATGAAACATCACTAAAAGTCTGTATGTGACAAAGACAGCTGTTTGATTATATAAATTGCGGTAGATACACTTTCTTCACTGTGTTTAAACGAGAGCGAGAGACCGCAGGCCCCAGAGTCACCGTGCTAAGCCCTACGTCAGCAAACCAGAACGTAACACCTGACCTAGCCTCAGTTTCAGCCCCTCTGAGGAACGGATCTTCAAGTGGTCCATCACTAGGCTTCTCAGCACTAATGAGGTCATCTGCCAGACACACCCCTGGCGTCCCCTAAGGAAGGTGACCTTGCCGCAAGCAATCACTCTCTGCTACAGTAACTTCCGTGTCCTGCCCCCTCCTGCCTATAAAAGGCTTCCCTATCACACAGGCTCCTTTCTATCTGCTGGATGGTATGACATCCAATCCGTGGGTCACTGAATAAAGCCAGTAAGATCTTCAGAATTCCCTCAGTCCAATTTTGTCTTTTACCAGACATATACTTTGGGAAGACTGGTCTTAATAGCATGTATCCTATGTAAGTGGAGCCAGGTTACTGCTGAAAAGTTACAACTGAAACGGGCAGCGACCTCTTCCGGAGAGGACATCGCACGGCCAACTGGCGCGGGAGGGACGCTTCCCCCAGCCGCTCTCGTACTGAGCGCATTTAAAAATCACACACACACGCTGTCAGGGCTCAGCTTCACTGTGATAACGACAGTGTTGAACATAACCTCCGATGTCATCAGTGTGACTGCATGTCACTGACGGACACTCAGGAACAGCGCTCACACCACTGGTTTTCACGACCTGGACGGAAGCTAGCAGAGGGGCCCTTCGTGTGCTCAGCACGCATTCCTGCTCCAAGCGCTACTGAGCTGACGCGAGTCAGTTACCCTGTCCAGCTCCACGTCGCCGTGTAAAAATCTCAGGGGAGTCATGCTCGCGGGCACGAGTGTCCCGTGTGGAGGCAGACAAGCAATCTGAGGACTGATTATTCCATAAGGCAGCACGCAGGCTTGCCACTGCCCTTTCTATTTAACTGAACTTTCTGTGATCATTCCAGATTCACACGCAGTGGCGAGAACAGAGACACCTCACACGCTTGGCCCAGCTCCCCCGATGCTAACGTCGGGCAAGGCTGCAGAGGAGCGTCACTACCAGGATCCCGGCGCACGGCGTCCATCTAGTCCAGGCTGCCCCTGCCCCCCGCCCCCGGAGTGTGCTGCCCCCCGACTGGTCACCAGGGCAGCCTTGTGCTCCCACCCCTCCATCAGCACGAGGGCCCTGCTGCTGCCTTCCCATCACACACGCAGGCGCGCCACAGAGCGATCAGTGCCGCGGCAGTAACAGATCCGCACAGTGGGAAACGTGGCTGCACACACCCGACGGATACACCAGAACGTGTGACCGTTCTCATGAGCAAAGGCATGAAGTATTTAAAAAAAAGCACTTTCACAAAAGTGGCAACTTTTTGAAAGCCGTGGTTGTACGTGGCACCAGAGGCCGGGCAGGTGACCAACAGTGGCCTTTACCGCCGGCTGGCTGGGGGCGCTCATGGGCGGGGCCGTCTTTCAGGAAAGGTCTGCATCAGTTCCCGGGGAGGCAGTGCAAGTCCGCTGTCCACCCCAGCCCCCGCCACGCAAAGAGCCCCCCACCGTGTCAGGAGCCGCAGGGCCGGGAGCTGGGGCACCCCCCCGACCCCCTGCACGGGCCCCGCGCACCTTGATGTACTCGCTCCAGTGCTGCAGCAGGGCCTGCTGCCCGCCCTTCACGCGGCTGAACAGCTGGTACATCTGGGTGAGGTCGGGCACTCGGTTCTCATCCAGCAGCTGGTCGAGCCCTGCGGGGATATGGCAGGCGTGAGGCGGCTCAGCAGGGGGTCAGCGTGCGGGCCTCCGACATGTGGGGCCGACACGTACTTCTAGGCGGGCCAGCTGCCCCAGGCCACATGCAGAGACCCGCCCTGGAGGCCGGGCCCCACCGCAAGGATGCTGCTCTGGGGGCCAGAGCCCTGGTGTCACTAAGGCAGCGGCTGGCCCCAGGCCACCTCTCACTATCATCGCTCCGGGAGCCGGTCTGTCGGGGCGGGGGTACTGAGTATAACCTGTCAGTTCACTCACTGTATTCGCTTAGAAGACACCTAAGGTGATATCACATGAAGGTGCTCAGTAATGCCAGCTCTCCCCTCCTGGCTTTGCTCTGGCTGCGCGTGGAAACCCTACGCTCCGGTGTCTCCTTAGAGGCACTACTACCAGCTGGCCGAGCAGAACCCACGTCAGAATATATGTGGCTCTTTATTTTTCTTACAATTTATAGTTGACATTTATAATTATGGGCCTTCCCACCATTAAGCTTTAAGGTCTCCAATACCTTGAAATAAATCCCACAACCCCATCATGCCTTTCAAATGGTGACATTACACACTTAATAGTTACACAAAGTAATGTGAAGTGCCCAGTGTTCTAGAGGATGAGGCTGTGCACTCTGAACTCCAGAGCCAAGCGCACTGTGAAGGGCACAGACCCACAGGAGGGCACGCGGGACACTCCTCCGGGATGTCACCAGGGTCCGACAAGCAGCACGAGGGAAGTGGCACAAGAGGGCACGGTCCTGCTGCCAGTCGGTGGGGTCTGTCCAGGGTACTCGGGACCCTGGCCCAAGTCCCCAGCCCCTGGCAGTCCGCGTGACGGTCAGCCCCTCGGGGAGGCCTGGGGAGGAGGCCCGCAGGAGCTGTGTGTGTGCCGGCGCCCGTGGGCACTGCATGAGGGCCCGGATGCAAGGTGTCTGTGGCCCAGAGGGTGTCCCAGCAGCTTCAGCTGAACACAGTACGTCCTGTGATTCCTCCGTCTCGACCAGACACCTTTCACGATTTCCCTGAACTGATTTTCTGCTCAGGGCTGACATGCTCATTGTCGCTAATGGTTTTTAGTGACTGCCTTATTATAATAGATATCCTCATGCTGGTATTTACGATGTTTCAGTCACTTCCTTAAAATGTCAAGGGCGACCGTGCAGGTAACTGACACAAGATTTAGGAAAATCTACCTTTCTGCAGAATTGCTGTTAAATGTTCTCCCAAAAGCTGTTTCTCCACACAAGCAATCAGTGGTTTCCTATTATGAGGCAAAGAGACAAAGTGTCAGCAGTTAAGTTAATGGAGAGACTCTGATCACCCACAAAGATGTGGCATTCACGGTCAGCAGGCCCCATAGGAGTTTCCCTCCTCCAGGGAACAGCCCCTTCCCTCCTCCGGAGACTCTGAAGGCTTTCTACAATCTAGTAAACAGCGCAGGGGGCAGGGGTCCAGGGAAAAGGAGACCCCGGCAGACAGAGACACAAGTGCGCCTGGCTGGCAATAGTCAAAATGAGGCTTTGCCTTTTGAATGCTAGGCGCGCTGGCTCGCCAGCCCCCCCCCCCCCCCCCCCCCCCCCCCCCCCCCCCCGCCAAGGCTGAGGCTCTGCCTCTGCCTCAGGCCCCATAACCCACCCATCACCACTTATCAAGGAAGCTCCTCGGGGCGCCTGGTGGCTCAGTTGGTTAAGTGTCCGACTTCTGCTCAGGTAATGATCTCGCGGTTTGTGCGTTCGAGCTCCGCATCAGGCTCTGTGCTAACAGCTCAGAGCCTGGAGCCTGTTTCACGTTCTGTGTCTCCCTCTCTCTCTGACCCTCCCCTGCTCATATGCTGTCTCCCTCTGTCTCTCTCTCTCTCTCAGAAATAAATAAAAAAAAAAAAAAAAAGGAAGCTCCTGCGTGAGGCCCACTCCACAGGAGCATCACCTGAAACCGAGTATTTGAACATCACCAAGCATGACTGCCACAGTCACAGAGACACACACAACTGCCTTCCCGAGTACATATTCCGCAGTTCACTTCAGTTTTGTTGTTTTCTTCTTTTTTTTCTTAATCAGACATGTGCTTTAGTCCCAGGATTATAGATTTTGGGCATCTTCCCAAGCCTTTGCTTCATAAATAACTTTCCAACGGCCCATCTTACTTAAACTTCACAGTGACCCCAGAGAAAGCACATACCCTCCTTGCGAAGGGGCAGACCGGGGGACTGTGCCCACTGAGCAGCAGAGCAAGGGGCGAGGGTCTGCCTTGGCAGCAGGGTGACAGGAGGTGAGGGCGCAGGTCAGAGGCTGACAGCAGGGAGGGCCAGCAGTGCGCCTGAGCCTCCTCCAAACAGCTTCGGGGACAGTTATCAGCTGGCAGCGGACGGCTTCTCCTTGCTGACTGCTGAGTAGCACTGCCTTGAGTATTTGCAAGTTTTGTGTATGTTTTTATTTCTCTGTTTTAGGAGTGGAACTAGAATGTCAGAAAACACCTAACTGACTGCCGCTCTGAGGAGCCAATCCGTCTTCAGGCAGCTGCCCGCGTTCCTATGGGCCACGCACAGCGGCTCCAGCTTCTCGTCCTCGCCAGTGCTTCGTGCCGCCTTTTTACTCAAAAAGCCACTGCAGCGAGTGTGAGGCAGAGCCCCACTGTCGTTCTGATGTGCAGTTTCCTGTGACGGACTCCGCCGAGCGCCCACCTTTTCCTGCGTTCACAGAACCATGCCTCCAGGCAGCAGGTGGCCTGGACACCATCACCGTTTTCACTCCACACAACACCCGTGTAAGCCCAGGGGCCGGGACAGGTCCCCCCCCAGCGCCCAAGGATCGATCTTCTAATCCACAATGACAGTTCGCTGACCATGCCAAGCAGCAGGAGACGGGGTCCTTCCCACACTGAGGGATGAGAGTCCCCAAGGCAGAGCCTGCCGAGTGACCTGGCTGCGGCGTCTGGCGGGTGACAAGGTGCAGCTTGAGCGTGCTCCACATGCAGGCTGCTGCCCACTGTGCTCTGGGGGCAGCCGGGGCAGGAAGGGGCGCCCGGAGCCCGGCGCTAAGGCAGGTGTGGCTTGGTCACCTGCAGCTTCCCTCTCCTGTCCTTGTGACAACTGTGTGCTTTGTGACATCTGAATCACCCAGCGTGGCAGAGGCCGCCTCAGTCAGTGCGCCCTCCACCCACCTGTGCCTGAGCCTGGAGGTGAACCTCCTTTCCCTGTTATTCCTTTGCTTAAATAATTTGCATACACTTCTGAGCAATATAGTTACTAAAATTGGGAGGAACTTCCAATCTAGCGTATACACAGCAGTGGATAAGCACGCTCAAAAGAGAAAAGGACCACTGTGCCCACCGCCTACGGGTCACGAAGTAGGACGCCCGGGGACCCCGGAGCCCCACCCCTCCTCCACCCCGAGCTGGGCTGGCGAGTCCTCTGCTCTTCACCGTGATCTACCACATACACATATATATCTCCCTGACTGGTACACGAGCTAGCGTGGCCTGTTCTTGAACTCCACGGTATGTGGAAAATATCGACCGAAAAAAGTGCAGTGGATACTCAGCAAAGACTCTTATCCAACCCTGACACGATCCGATACGGCTCGCCCCCCGTCCCCCGTGCATCCCTGCTGCCGTGGCTCCCCAGCGCGCCTGGGACACGGCCGTCCTGGCTTCAGCATGCCTGTCCTCCTCTGCAGATCTGGGGCTCCTCGTGGGCCCGTCAAGTGTCTAAGAGCAACGTGACCCTTCCCTCCTGACCCTCCGCCCTCCGCCCTCTCCCGGTGCCGCCCTGCCGCGCCTTCCGGCCTTCCGTCTCGCCTCCAGCTCCCGCTCTCTTCCTAGCTCTCCTCGCTCGAATAAATGTTACGTGCAGGGTGAGAAACAGACATTCACAGTTTTCCCTTTTACTTTTCCCTGGCTACTTACCAACCTCAGGTTTAGAGAAAAAAAAATTAGATGGAAAGAAAAAATAACGTGACTTAATACCATAAATGAAAATTACAGCTACATTCCACATCCAACAAAAAAGTTCACAATCTAAATATATTCAATTATACTCTGTCAACATAAACAGAATCCTAATCTATAAACCCCAAGACCCCAAGACCCAAGTACCCTGGCCTCAGGTACTCATGACAGGGCACCTGTGACTTACAGGTGCTGGATAATCACACACAACATAAGCAAACCCTGCTAAGTACTCTGCAGAAGTACTCCGATAGTACTGGATGGGTCCACAAAGGTGCCATTTATGTCACTAACCAGCCAGGCACAGGGTTCACTATCATCAAATTGCAAGAACTGAGTAAACGAATAGTACTCACTGTGTGCTGTGGTCTAAATACGTGATTACTCGGTCTCCTTCTTCCTCTAAACGCTTACTTACATGGTTAAGATATTCTGGAACCTTCCAAACACAATATTTAAACATGTCAGTAACAAAGATTCTTTTTTTTTTTTTAAAGTAACAAAGATTCTTGATGTTACCCAAGAAGCTGAAACATTGGTGAACAAAGAAAAATTTTTTAAATTTTTTTTTTAAAAAAAAGGGCACCATATATATTCAAGGCAAGTGTCAGAACAGATGAACAGGGGAGGGCAAGATTCGTAGTACAAAGTTTCCTTAAACTCAATTCTGGAGCATAAAAGTGACCTCTAGAGTGAGCGCCTCCCTGCGGTGCCCTGCTCACCACCGAGTTCTCAGGACGAGGCCACGGGTCCCTGCCGTCATGGAGGCCCTGTGGCAGGTGAGCAGTGGCACCCGGGTCAGGGGGTGCAGGCCTACTGGCACCCCAGGTCCCAAATGAGCGGGGTCAGCAAAAGCTGACCGGCAGACGGGGCGTTCACTCGAGGGTGCTGCGCAGCGCGGCTGCAGCAGGCCGTGGTGCGCGTTCCGTGCACAGGAGGCCCCACGACACTTCTCTGGCTTAGTGGTGGTGGCAGCAAGGCCGGGTGCTGCACAGGCTGCGTCCCCTCCAGAACGGGAGGGAGAGCCGACAGTCCGTGCGCCCTGTGCTGTGACGAGTGACATTTGGGGGAGGTCCCCAGGGGCTCCCTGCGGTCCCTGCTCTGACTCCTTCGAAACCGCTTACCACGACGGTGGGTTCACAGGACAACTATTGCATTATTTTCCTGTGGTCTCCTGGGTAATGTTTTCCACTGCCTCACACAAATGGAAGGTTTGAGGTGCGCGTGGGTTATCTGTACAGTTAAGATTGACCTTTTATCCTCTTACTTTAACCTGAGTTACTCTGCGTGGAGAAGCTATCTTATTGGCTTTTTTATTCGGCAGGGGAAGCGCAATAAGAAAGTCTTTAAGGCAGGGGCACCTGGGAGGCTCAGTCGGTGGAGCACCCAACTTTGGCTCAGGTCACGATCTCACAGTTCGTGAGTTCGGGCCCTGCGTCGGGCTCACTGCCGTCAGCACAGAACCCATTTGGGATCCTCTGTCCTCTCTCTCTCTGCCCATCCCCCGCTTGCACTCACTCTCGAAAACAGACATTTAAAAAGTTTCTGAGTTATAAGAAATTAACTCTTGGGGCACCTGGGTGGCTCAGTCGGTTAAGCGTCCGACTTTGACTCAGGTCATGATCTCGTGGTTCATGGGTTTGAGCCCTATGTCGGGCTCTGTGCGGACAGCTAAGAGCCGGGAGCCTGCTTTGGATTCTTTGTCTCCCTCTCTCTCTGCCCCTCCCCTGCTCTTTCTCTCAGAAGCAAATAAAACATTAAAAAAAAAAAGAAATTAATTCTTTACTGTCATAACAATGGAGTTTGTTACCGAGGATTTCAGCTAGGTTGTGGCTTTCAGAAGATTTCTTATAAAATGTGTATGTGGAAAGACAAACTATTAGAAATTAACTTAAATGCACATCTATAAAAAGAAATAAGGCGATTCAGAAGTACTTCCTTGTCTTACCTCTCTTTCTTGCATTAATCTCTGGCCTTCTGCAGCATATAAGCAATTAGTTTCTTCCAAAAATCTCACTTCAAATGAATCTTTATAGACCTAAGAAAAAAGCAGAGTTACTGACCAATTACAGAAAAGAAATCTGTGCTTGGAAGTGCTGATACACCCAAGCTTTCAGGGAGCAAGGCTGCCTCGAGGGTGCCCATGGGCCGCTCCCTCATGGGCCTCGGTGGGCGCCAGCCTACCGCATGCTCTCCTCCCCGGGTGTCACAGGCTCTCGGCCTTGCCCTGGAGCACCGGGTCTGTACTAAGGAGCTTCCTCTGGGGCTCCTGGTCTGGCATTAGCCTGACAGCCACACCCCTTGCTCATTTTTAACAGGCACTTTTATTTCATTTTTTTGCATTTAAATCTTTCACGTACCCATTTATTTTGTTGTAAGTAGATAGACTATTAGGAAGCATTAGGGCATTTAGCATGGGATGGGTTACCCAAGGTCAGAGAGCACACTCAGCAGATACAGACAGATTCTTAGGAATTACTGGTAACATTCAGGACGGGACGGGTTACCTGAAGGTCAGACAGCATACTCAGCAGACTTCTCAATAAACTCCGATCCACAGCTTCGCCGTTTCTTTCACGTTCAATTAATAGCAAAATTCCATCAATACTTTTACTCTGAACCATTTTATCACTAATGATATGGTTTCTGAAAAGCTCCAATCCCATATCCCTGTACAAACAGTAAAGAAAAAACTACATTTTAGTTTCATGTTTTAGAAGTTCTAGGTGAAGCTCCAAGCTACGCTGTCACTCAGCCCACAGCGTTGATTTGCTAATTCTCTCAATCCACCTGCCAAGCACTCCTTGGCTGTGTTTTCATTTCTGGCCAGCCTCGTGTGCCTCGTATTTGCTTCTCAGCAAGGCTGTGTCCCGGGGTGGGTCAGGCTTATCACCAAGAAGCACATCAACCTGCAAACGGCACAGCTCACAGCCTTCCTCTTGCTGCGGGATCACACACTCGCCACCCGGCCAGCCCGCGATCCTTCCCTTTTCCGGCTCTGGTCCCTCTCCAGGGCTCGCCATACACCTCTTCCTCTGCTGGCGCTCGGTCCCCTCCCTTGGTGATTGGAGTGTGAAACATGCCGTTAAGAGGCCACCACAGGCCCTCAGCTTGTCACTGAGGAAGCAGGAGGAGATCCAGCTCTGAGCTGTTGTGCGGACACCACCAGAAAACAGGTTCTAGGCTCTGTTCAAACACCTCCACAGGCCCCTCAGGAGCCAGACACTGAGCAGGTAGACAAAACTCAGTGCCTGGACCCAGTGGGGTCTCCTGAAGGGCGGCGCGGGGAGCGGCGGGGAGCAGTAGGCAGGTGAGTGTGGCTTCTGGGGAGCCCCTTCTGTGGTGAACCCTTTCCAGTGCATACAACGGGGGGCCTTTCTGGTTCCCTGTAGGAGATGCAGGTCTGGGTCTCCTGTGGTCTCAAGCCGGCTACCTGGGTTTGAATCCTGACCCGCCCCCTGCTTGCAGTGCCTCTGGGTCTCTGCCTGTCCTTCCTTAACCGTAAATGGCATCCTGCGCACTGCTCTACCCCTGGCATCCCCTTCCACCCTGGGTCAGGCAGGTAGCCGGTGTGGTATGGAAGAAGTGTTCACTGTTGCTAGGCTCTTCTTTCTAAAATCTCAACCTCCACTTATGGCTTCAGCTGCTCGCGGCCACCAGGCGGCCTTCCCGGCGTCAGGTCTCCGTCCTCCACACCCTGTGCATCTGGGCGGCTCCCGCTTCACACAGACTGCACTTCAAACTCACCGCTTCCTTTGCTTCACTACCACTTCCGTACCTCAGCTGCTCGCTGCTCCTGCTAGCTCTGCAAAGCTCAGGACCGGGCCAGGGCTTACTCTCCCTCCCCATCCTGCCTGGACCGCACTATCCCACTCAGCTTTCCTGCCTTGATGGCAGCCTGAGGCTGCCATCGTCTAAGCCATAAGCAGGGCTTACAGTTTACACGACATGTTATTTTATAAACTATGTTCACAAATGAACAGTTCAGACCCCGCGGCCCAACCACCTGGGAGCTTGCTGACTCAGTTTCTCCGTCTGTAGAGTGGAGCCGATAACGGTCATCCCCTAGAGCCGTGCCGCAGACTCGCTCAATGAGTAGGTGCTGAACCTCTCAGAAAAGTGCTTTCAGCGGAGCGGCTATGTGATCTGCCGCCATCCGGTGCCGCCGTCCGTGCTGTTTCTCCGAACAAAGGCTGCCCTTTCTGCAGGTGTGAGCGCGAGTCTAGCACAAGTGCAGCAGCAGATTTCAGTGAGAGGAACAGGGGAAGCAGACTTCCAACCACGAGTGTGTGAAGCTGCACACACACGAGGGAATATGAAACAAAGACAAAAACGTGTCCGTGGGTCTGGAAAGCAGAGGTCACGGCTACATTAGGGAGGGCTGTGTCCATGCCTCAGGTCAGAGGAAACAGATGCGAGGAGACTGAAAAGCACCTTGTCAAACAAGTTGGGTTTAAAGGGGATGGGAGAAGGAGCTTCCGTGCAACAGAGAGGAGGAAGAAGCCGAGGGCGACCTCAGGGACAAGTCTAATCAGGAGAGCCTCAGGGGCAGACGGAGTGGTGAAGGGCATCAGCAACAGGGTGTGGAGGTCAGTGCCACAGAGCGGGGAGTCCCGAATCCTCCCTGTCCCCGAAGGGTGCCGTGCGACGGAAGAGCAGACCGAAACGAGGGGGCCTCTGCACGTGTGGTTGGTCCGCCGGGTGGGGAGCCGTGGGGGCTTCAGGACTCCGTCTGGCTGGGGCCGGCTGCTGGAGTGAGCGAGCGCCGCCGCCTCTCCCTCCCGGCCGAGGCGAGCACTGCGCCCTTCTCCGATGGCCCCGATGTGCAACGCCCAGTGATGGAAACGTGGCTTCCCACGGTCCTGCTTGTCTGCCCGCTACCTGCACTGTGACACTCGCTGCAAGCTGGGCAACGTGCCCCCAGGGGCGGCTCCTGGGCGTGGCCGGCGCGGCCCCCTCACTCCAGGGCTAAGTGTGCCTGGGTCTGGACGTGTGTGCTAGTGACTCTGGCTGACACGAAGGAGCACAGACACAGCCCTGCTGACTAGGACACTCACCAGATAGAAGGAAGCATGGAATTCTGGAGTACGTAAGTGCGATCCAAAAACAGGAAAATACTTCTGATCATGATCTGGCAATTAGAAAAGCATTTATTTATGTAACTTACTAACTAAAAATTCAAGACCAGGCCTTCTGCACTGTAACTGTGGTGGCTGTCTTATATCTTAGAGTAACTGTTTCTTGATGACGGTCCCCACCAAGACCTTCAGGATTGATTTTTCCCCAAATTTAATTGCTCCTTTGGTGTTTGACTTTCATCTCTTTAGTCCAGAAAATCTGACTATAGGGAGATCTGGCCATTTCCTGCCTGATGTAGGTAAACCTCATGAGCCTGAAGAGATGCTCTAAGCTTTTTAAACACTTAGTCCTTGTCACATCGGCATGAGGCTCGTGGCCGTGTGCTTGACTCTCCTTTGCAAGCAGAGTGAGGACGACACAGGATCACCAGCCCCCTGTGATTCTCCTAACACAGCCTTCTCAACAGACGTTCCCTCTACTCTGACCATGTACCAGGTGGCTGGCCTGGAAGAGAGGCTCATTCACTGTCCCCTACTTACCTCATTACCTAGGAAAGCTACTGTGACCATGTTTGCTCTCATAGCCAGGTCAGGCTACAACCTCACAGGTATCAAACCAAGTCAGAATCAGTACATCCGCAAAGTCTAAGACTTTGGCTGTCCAGTTACAGTAAAAACCTGGAAATCAGGCTTGATTATCAGGAATAAACTGGGATTAAGAAAAACTTTAGAGACCCGTTCAGGAATCAGCTCAGGTACCATAGACTGTCAGGTTGCTTTGAAGGTCAAGTTAGCAGCTGGCCCCAATCCAGAAAAGCAGTCGTTCACACGCTGCTTTTCTCTGCCCTTTTGTTCCACTACGTTGAGCTGGACGGATGGCAGCATTCGACTCAACACAGAACCCCACCCAGCCCTTCTCTGTCTCAGCCCATGGTTGGGCCCACCCTGTCCTCAGATGGGTGAGGGGAGTGGATGAGGCCATTTTTGGTTAGGAAGGGGGGCGGGGAAGACACCCTGCCAGCTGCCCAGGCTCCTTCCTGCTTAGCGACAGCAGAGGGTGAATGGGACCAAGAGGAAGCGTCGGTGACCAGACTCCGGGCACCACCGATGAAGATTATGGGCAGCACAGCGTCCCTGAAACCAGGGTTAGCAGAAAAGTCAATACGCTTACCATTTGTCTGCAATGATCTTGCCAGCATGTGTTAATCTTCTTTAAAAATAAAACACTATCTAGTGAGTCTGTGCAGATCTGCTAAGGAAAACTTCAGAAATGCTGGCCAATTTAATTATTACAGCTTTAACCCCTTAACCGCAGCTCTTGACACTGAATGTACACATCATTTCGTTGTCAGAATACGGAAGGACTGGGATGTCCATGTGGCTCACTTGGTTGAGTGTCCAACTTGTGACTTCGGGTCAAATCGTGATCTCATGGTTTGTTAAGATTGAGCCCTACATCGGGCTCTGTGCTGACAGTGCAGAGACTACTTGGGATCCTCTCTCTCACTCCTTCCTCTCTCTCCCTTTTAAAAACAAACTTAAAAAGAACACTGAAGGGCCAGAGGGACTACAGGTACAGGTTTCCTGCATCGCTGCACCGCGTTCCCAGTTTGCAACAAGCCCCCGGCCACACCCACCCGCTTTCCCCGTCTCCCTTGCTGCTGTGTGGCCGGGTCCTAGTAGAGGCCTGCTGGCTGCATCAACCGCCAAGCCACACGCTTCATGGGTCTGGGTGGCTGGGCCTAAGGGTTCATCCTGCAAAGGGTGGTGGGGGCAGAGAGTGACCCGCACTGTCCCAGTGGTGACACAGCAGGTCGACTATTAGCACCAGGGACCAGGCAGCTGGAGGGAGGCGGCTGAGACTTAACTTTAACTTATAGTCTCAATGAGAACTGATGTGAATCTCATTCATGCACCAAATTAGAATGTTCTCAGCTCAAAAATTAGAATTAATTTTTTAAGAAGGCCCAACATACTGCTTATAGAGACAGGAAACCCCAACATGGGTTCCTAGAGCAAACTACGGCCAAAAGTGCAGAGCACAGCCTTCACAGGTTTGGGCAAAGTCACGGTCATAAACGTCTACGTGCTACTTCACAGCTTACAAAACCCCTCACATCCATGCGTCTCCAATCCCCCCAACTGCACGACACAGACATTGCTCCCTCTGTACAGTCTTGGCTCCAGGACCCTGGACCAGCGACGAACTTCCTTGAGCCCAGTTTCTTCCGAGCTGGCGAGAGGTTACATGGAAGATGCACAGCACGTACGGAAGCAGCGTGCAGGCCAGCACGTAAGCCGTCAATCATGCAGGCCTCAGAGCCTTCGGTTGGCAGGGAGGTCTGACAGAGCGAGGGGAGCTGGCGGAGGGCAGGACGCCGCCAGAACTTTGGGAAGAGGACAGACAGTCGGGAGGAGCCAACGGGCACATCCGCAGCCTTGTCACACAAGAGCAGCTGACCTCGGCCACAGTGGTCTCGGCCCCGCACCTTATTTTTTCTTGGGGCTTTGCTGATAAATCACAGATCGTAAGTCCTATGAACAAGCCCATCATTCAAGGGTTAACATGTTATTCTGGAAAAACTCACGATTGCTCAAATTTATAGTGGCCTACAATATGAGAACCTTACACAAACAGTCTGAAAAGACAAAGGATAAGTCACAGGCACACACAGCAGGGACCCAGCAGCTCTGGCAAAGACACAAGCCACTTGCCGACACCCCGGCAGGTCTCCGTGTCAGGCTGCATCAGCTGGGGGGCCGAGCTCTGTCCCAGCAACCAGTCGCACGCCACCGGAAGGCACAGGCGCTGTGAGCAAGCGGCACTCGGCCTGGCACAGGGTGTCCTGGGGAGGGAGAGGCCCCGTGTGCAGGGCTCAGTACATGAGACGCCTCTCCTCAATTAGCCGGGTGAAGCCATCACTGGCCATTTCCCATGGAAAACAGTATGAAGTGGTCAGGCCAGCATGAACTGAGCTCTAGCCTCGACACAGCAAAATCCAGAGCCTCACACGAGCACCCTTGGGGCCTAAGACACGTCACAGGCTCCCGTCACTGTCCCCTCCCATCTGGGGAAGGGCCAGGCCTAGCTAAGGGTGTGAGCAGTGTACTGAGAGGGGTCCGTCACGTGTCAGACAGCAGACACGGACCCCCCATGGCGGAATGCACATACGCACACCTGCGATCATGAGGAGGAGGAAACCCAAAAGACAATGCCCACGCCAAAGAAAAGTGATAGGTTCTCCTTTCGCCCACGTTGTCTACACCGGGTTACCCTGCTCTCCCTCCCCCACAGAGCGTGCTGAAGAACAATCTGCCTGCACCGCAGCTCACTGCTTGACACTCCTCACCTCCATCAGGTCTCCCTGCTATGAGCGCACACAATGACCTTTTCTTCCACATTTATCAAAGTTCACAGTTTGGACTCTTGAAGTCTCGCCTCCCTCATTAGTCTACAAAGCCCACGGAGGCAGGAAGCCTGTCGTGGTGGAAGCCCGTCGTGGTTGCCTCTGGGCCGCCGCACCGGCTCTGCATCCTCAGCCTCGCGCTACCAACGAGTGCCGTGTGGACGCACAACCCGGCCCGCGGCCGGCGCCCCGCACGCACATGCTGACGACACGCTGGTCACATGGGCAGAGGGTGTTCGTAAAGAAGCCCAAGGCTCAGTCATCTACGGAGCAGGAAGACACAGGGTCCTGTGAAGACACCGGTCACCTCCGTCCTGTGTGTGGAGCGCGCGTTGCCAGGGGGAGGCCGCCCGGAGGCCAGCACTGCCGGGGCTCACCGAGTGCGGGGGGAGGCCTATCACCAGGAGCGGGGAGCTTCTTTCGAAAGGAGCAGGTACGTGCAGAACGCAAACACGTGAACGAGGGAGCAGAGCCTGCGCTGTAAGAGAACTGCAGCGGCGCCAACTCCAGGCGACTGTTTCCCGCCCGCCCGCGGGGCCTCTGGGGCCTGAGCGTTCCTCCTGCCTCCTGCTGTCCTCGGCGGCAGCACGCGGCCAGCATGCTGGGACTCTTACAAAGCGGCCCCACATGAGGTACAGAAACACCCCGGAGACCAGAGACTGGACACGCCCACCCTGGAATACTCTGGAATATGACCGCCTCGAGGGCCTCGGCCTCTGCAGCAGCTCTGACCCCTGCCCCTTCTCGTCTGGGGAGGCTGCCCCCCTTTCAGCAAAACGAGCTCTGAGGGCAGGACTGCGTCCCCATCAGCCACCCTCTCCCCGCACACAGCCCCTCCTCGGTGCGGACGCGCTCCCGACTCCCCAGGCAGACTGGCTGCCCTTTCCTTATGCCCCAGGGGCTTCTCTGAGCCTTTAAAACCCTCACCACCCGAACCATAAGTGCGTATTTTTATGCCCTCGTCAATCCCGCTGCGGTTTAAGCTCTAAAGGGCCAGAACCTGCTTCGCTCCTGTTTCCAGGGCCCACCTTGTCGCCAGTCTCCTCTTGCCCACGTGCTACCAAACACGATCCAATTACACTGGATTCTTGCTTCAAACACCTGCAAGGGCCCAGACTTAAACCCAGATCCTTCAGAATGTGCACAAAGACTCACACCCAAGCTGCAACTCAGAATTACTGCCTCAAATTCCACCAGTGCCAGCAGGTTCTGGCCACGGCCCATGAGCATCCCTCTCTGATGGCTCATGCCCTCTGGCTGGCCATGTCCCACTCATCCTTCATGATGGGGCTCCAGCGTCACCGCCTCTGGAAAGCTCTGCCCCAGCTGCTTCTTGCACTACCACTCCTATCCCCGATTCTGATAATTTAACATCTTGGAACTCAAGATGCCTCACACCTAAAGACATTTCATATGGCAGAGTGCTCTTATCTTTCTTCTTCAATGAAACACATCGTTGTTTTTGGAAGCAAGGTTTTTGTCGCGGCATCAAGGAAATGTGACAACGTTGCCCCTGCCTCTATCTCAGCACCAGGCGTACCAGGAGGGCAGAAAGGAGGTGACGCCATCACTTCCTACTGTCAGTCAGAAGTTTGGACAAGAAGGAAGTCCTAGCTGAACGAATGAATTAATGAACACGTTCCTATAACTTACAGAGTAGAATTAAGCGGCAGATGGATAGTTGGATGAGGTAATCACTTAGTCTTAAATAAGCTAGGCCAACTAGGTAAGGAACAATCACAACAGTTCACCCTAACGTACGCCTGTCCAGGAGGGGACACCCGGGAATCTGCTGACTTCCGGGAAGTTCCCCTAAGGTGCGCCTGTCCAGGAGGGGACACCCGGGAATCTGCTGACTTCCGGGAAGTTCCCCTAAGGTGCGCCTGTCCAGGAGGGGACACCCGGGAATCTGCTGACTTCCGGGAAGTTCCCCTAAGGTGCGCCTGTCCAGGAGGGGACATCCGGGAGTCTGCTGACTTCCGGGAAGCCTGGGAATCAGGCTCATCTTCAGATGTCAGCATCCAGATGGGCTCCTGGACCCATCATCACCCAGCCTCCAAGATTCCTGTGCTGTGGCACAGACAGGAGAGGCGCCTCTGTGTGTTCTCAGAGGATGCCTCGGATACATGGTACATACTGGCCACCTTCCAAAGGTCCAACAGTATGGTCACCTTTGTCCTGAATGGCCTTGTGATTTCCAGAGGACAGAACTCTGCCGGAAAATACGGCACAGGTATAGTTGCAGATGCCAGCACAAGAGACCAGAATGGACTCCGCTTGCCCGTTAACGGGGAGGCCCCTTGCTCCAGGCCACATGGGCTTCACTGCCACGGATCATCTAGAGCTTCGATAGCAGGTGACAGGCAGCTGTGGCTGCCCTGAACACTTCAGTTTCTCAAAGGAAAGGGAAAGGGAAAGGGACGTAAAGGACTCCTTCAGCCAGAACAAGAGTTAGAAATGAGTAGGCTGCAAGTACCTATTTCCACAAATTAAGAAAGAGACTTGGAAAAGTGCAGTCACAAGCAGCTGTCTGTAATATTAAACCCCCTTCCTAATTCTCTCCCAAAGAGATGTGTGGCTGACTAATAAGGGTGGGGGGTGGGCTGGAGGCCTGGGCCACGGCCAGGCTGTAAGGGGCTGTTGCCAGGATGTAAGGAGCCCCGTCTCCCTGGCAGACACCAGTCCTACACGGTGTGCTGGCAAAACTCGAAGATGGTCGCACCCCGCCACGTACTTGCTTAGCACACCCTCCCCTGATTGGGGGGGGGGGGGAAGGAATACGGTGGGTTACATCATAGGAGATGGTCTCAGCAGAAGCAATTAATCACCCCATGAGAGAAGAGGCCTCACAGCAAAAGCCAAGGGCGGCCTCCAGGGGCCAAGAGCGACCTCCGTTCTCAACGGAGGGAAAGGAGTTCTGCCTGGAAGGCGGCCTGTGGGAAGTCTCTGACCGCTGGCCCTGCAGTTTCAGTCAGTGACACTCTGAGCAGAGACCCAATGAACGGAGCTGGGACTCCCCACCCACACGACCGTGAGCCTACAAACGGTGCTGGGTTATGTCACCAAGTCTGCGGGCATTTGCTATGCGTCGGACTAATATAGACGGTTTTGTACAAGAATAAAGGATAGCGAAATAGAATTAAGACACTTATCAGAAATCTTCCTAAACACTTCAACCAGACCCAATAAATGGACACTATTTATATGTTATATATAAATATACAATAAAAAACTCCACTTAAAAAAATCTGTTAGGTCACATGAAAAAAATGTTAGCTTTTGTTCTATAAATAAAAGAGAATTTTGAAAGCTGTTGTTTTAACATTAACAACACTCATTACTTCTTTATCCTATTAACGTTCAGCCTCAAAAGACTTAGGTAATGAATAGAAACTCATGAGCCAAAAAAAGGATATTCTCTAAACTGAAGGATCTGTGCTTGGACATGATCTTCACAGACCTGGCGCAGCTGTTTGTAGAGTGTTGGGGAAACTTTGTGAGAACAGAGATTTTCAACAGCCTAAAAACAAAAGGAACAAGTGAATTATTCACCATGAATAACAAATTATTTCTCTGAAAAGACCTGTGTATATAAAATCACAATCAAAACAGACAGGCACCCCCTTCATACTTACACGAACTATAAATAAACTGTTATGTTTAAGTTCCAGGTGATTTGTTGGAACACTGAAATCCAGGAAGGGTTTGGTAAAAATGTAACAACAGCTAATACTGAACACAGGTTGGACAGCACACCTATGTCAGCCCATGACCCCTGGGACCCGCTTGGGGTCCCTGCGCACGTCTGAGCACCTACAGCGCCCTACTTTCTTCTGCTGCAGCAGTCTCTAAACCTGGCCACTCACCACTCTCACCGTGGACTTGAAAACAAACCTGGAATGTTTCCATTCATTTGTCTGAGGTGGAAGACGCAGGAAACATGGATGAGTTTACCTTGATGATTATAAGGTGCGACCAGGGCAGGAAACTCCTGAGTGCCCAGGCCACACTGGCTACGTTATACTATCGCCTACATATTTTTCTGCAGGCTGCATGTGTAATTTACCTAGGCTTGTCTTAAATTAACGAAGAAGCAAGTATTTTAAGCAGAAACACTTTTCATAAAATATTTCTATCCTCATCAAAAATTATGTATATTCTCACCGGTTCTAATAAAATTTCGTTTCAAATTTCATGTACAAAACCAGGATCTCATTCAATCCAAATGAGATACTAAAAACAGAAATGTAGTTTTTTCTCCTGACTAGTTTTGAACCATCTAAAAAAATATGGGGGAAACACTTTAGAATCTAAATTTAACTCAAATACTATATTCCTGATGAAATAAAAGTTAAGTTTTTATAAAGCTATTTGTTATAGTAAGACTTGTAACTATTAATGGTCCCCATGCTTAGTATTACAAGATTGCTACCTATTAATCTAAATTAAATAAATATAGTAACCAGTACCATATAAAATAAAATACATGCACATCCACACAGGTCAAAAGGGAACAGGAATGAGGATGTTAAAAATGACAACATGTTTTTTAGCAAGTTTATTACCAGCATAACAGCACGACATGGTCTTCCCCTACGTGCTGCCTGGCTATACAAGGGAGGGCTGTTTAAATCCCCCACTTTCTTTCTCAGACTCTGTACTTCTGTCTTTATAATTCAGTCAACGATCTATCCGTGTCTTTCTTAAAAATCCCAAGGTAACCTGATGACAAATGCTTTTTGCTCCAGTGAGTTAATCGTTAGGCGATTCCACAGACACATTATTATGAAATGCTTTGGTGTGATACATGAAGAAAACGTATTTTCTTTGGTAAAAATCAAGCCAAGCTTGGTGGTACACGTCCTTCACAGAGCCTACCACTGACGAAACCACCCTGAACGCTCTCATTCCTGAACGAGGAGTCAGTGTCCTCGAAATATCTTCCCCAGTTGTGACACGCTGTCACTGCTGACTTTATAGCGCCTTTTCTCATCTGTGTCCTACTTGGCACACGGTTACTATTTACATGAAGCGCACTGAAGATCTGTTTTTAAAACGGAGAACCTGGGGGCCTCTTAAAAGCACCAGCTGAACCCTGCGTAGACAGGTTTGTTGTGGGCGCTGTCCCTCCGTGTCTTTTGCTGAGTCACCGCAGGTGTCTTCATGTTACAGGCACCCTCATTCGGAAGAGAGTGTGGCCGTGGCAGGGCCCCTGGCAGACTTTTCTGTCACTTACAGGAGCCCCACAGCACACAAGCCCCCCCCCCCCGGGACAAGCGCTGGAGCCGGAGCCCCGCCCTGACGCAGCGGTGCCTCCTGTGGGGTGTGAGGCAGGAGCCATACGGGTAGGGTGTGTTTCACGTTACCCCCTCGCGTGTGTAAGAGGCGCAGCAGATAGAAGGAATTCAACTGGAGAGAAGGACACGGGGGGTGGGGGTCGGGGTGCTGTGTTAGGCAGAGGGTCCTTTTCACTGCCACCGAGCCAGGGGAAGCCGCCTGTCCGAACCGCCCAAGCGCAGCTCTCTAATCTCGGTCGGCCAGGCCTCCACACCCAAGCCCTCTCCAGGCTGCTGTCCGTGTGGGGACAGACAAAGGCACGGAAGCTGGAGGGGCTGGCAGATCAAAGCCCAGTCCCTCTGCAGGGCGGAGCCGCAGCCCCCAGAGCAACCAGCAGGAAGGGCCAACGGGGCGTTAGAGCGAGTCTCGGGGTGGGAAGAACGCACAGCATCACTGAAATGAGAGCACACGGTTCTGGAAGATGATCTGCCTCATCTAAAGGCCTTGAAGGCCAAAGCTGAGAGTAGAGAGAAAATGGAGTGAAAATAGTGTGAGAGATGGTAAAGGAGAAAGGCAGGCAGATACTAGGAGCACGTGTTTACGTAGACGAAGGGAAACGAGAGGCAGCCCCCGGCCCCGGGGTAAATCACACCCGGGCCAGCTGTACAGGGCAAGGCGCGCCAGGGCCACCGCGGAGCCCACACTTCACACTTCAGTGGAGGCCAGCACAGCGTTCTCCTGGCACACTTCCGGGTGAGGGTGGGGGCAGCGATGGCCCCAGTTAAGCAGTACTTGGTCTTTTTTTTAAACTTTTTTTTTTTAATGTTTTATTTATTTCTGAGAGAGAGAGAGAGACAGCGTGAGCAGGGTAGGGTCAGAGAGAGAGGGACATACAGAATCTGAAGCAGACTCCAGGCTCTGAGCTGGCTGTCAGCACAGAGCCCGACGCGGGGCTCAAACCCACGAACCATGAGGTCATGACCTGAGCCGAAGTTGGACGCTTAACTGACTGAGCCACCCAGGCGCACCAAGCAGTACTTGGTCTTGAAGGCAGACACCCTACTCAATGGCGGGCCCGCTGAATGGTGATGAGCTCACAACCCGGAAGAAGGCACTAATGGGGCTCTACGCCCCGGGTTCCTGCCTGTAAGAAATGAGTAGAGAGCAATGTATAAGTCAGATCAGAGCTCAGATCTGAGTGAGAGGATATGTTCGAGAGGGGTTGTAAGTGCCCTGGCCGGGGGGGCTCTACGCCCGACAGCGGGCAGCGTGGGCTGCAGGGCTGACCCTGACTGCGCAGGAGACTCCGGCTCCCAGACGTCGCAGTGAACTACTGAATACAGAGGACTAATCCCACAGAGCACTCAGAACTGCTGATTTATGGAATCCTTTTTACTAAGCTGAAGAGATTTGAGTTTGGATATTCTCCTGTTTTTGAGTAACTTCTGTATTGAGCTCTGTATTGTGTTGATTAATTTGTCACTTTCTGAAATGGGTCCATCAAATAACGTGTTTACAAGTGTCTGCTACTCGTTTTCTCTTTGTGGCTCTCATTTTCCCTTGGCAATCTGTCTAACCAGTTTGAGCCAACCTATTAATATGCTCAACACCTAACCCCACATTCTCCTTCACTAAATCATCACCAAGCAGGAGGGCTTTAGAGGCCTTGGTCTGTGACTCAGGACAGCACGGCTCTCCTCAGGACAGCCAGTCGCCCATCAAAAGTGCTTGAAATCAACTTTGGCCCTTCTCTGAAACCCTTCCTGAAAATGTAGACTTCAGTGATCCGTCGTCCATTATGCTGGCGGACAGGACTCAAATACACAGGCAGGAGACACACAAGATAAACATTCTTCTGCAGGCGCTAATTCCAGACTTAAACTCAGGTCTTTAAAAACAGACAAAAAAATCTTCACATTCCAAGTCTCCTCCTCCACGCTCTGTCAGAGGAAAGTGTGGACGGGGAACGTTTGTGCAAACTTTCCGCTCACCACACTTTGCACCTCCCTCTTACACAGAAACAACAGGTAAACTATACCAGACACACAGGAGTGAACTTCTCCTCCAGGCAGGCCTCCTGAAGTGTCCACGTGGTGACAGATGCCTTGATGGGGAGAAAAGAGACCCCACTTTGGGAAGACTAACGAACATCAAAACATAAGAGCTTGTCCCTCAAATCATCCTGAAAACTTCCTACACACACCCCCCCCACCCCCCCCCAAACTTTCGTACTTCGGTGAGAACTGTCACTTTCACATAAAATTCGTCGCAAAGCATAGACTACACCACCTGAGTAAAAACTTCAGCTGTGTTTTGGAACAGCAGGTAAACGCACAGACTGCTATAGCCTAAGATCAGGATACAGCAAGCGTTCAATGACTCCACGATGATGTCACTTACTATTTCTATCCTGTTTGCTTCCAAAAGATCTGAGCAGCTCACTTCCCAGAGAGGTACCTGAAGTCTGGGCACCTCTCTCTGAGTGGCCAGGAGCCGGCCTGTGCCCCTGTCCTGCCATAAGTCAGTCAACTGATCCCCACCGGCCCCGCCTCCTGGGATGCCCCATGGAACATGAGATTCCATTCTGGGGGCAAGCACCCCTAGCCCGCAGGGTGTCAAGATGCACTCGGACACCCAGGGCATCTGGAAACACTTTATGGTAACATGTACGGTGGCTATTATGAAATGCACTGCTGGGTAAAAGGTATGGCAAAGTCATTCTACGAAAAATGAAAGGCAATCGATCCCAGATAGACAAACCTCCAGGACGAGAAGAATAATGAAACCGGCTGCAAGATGTAACAGTCTATTAAACTAATAAACCTACGAGAGTTTAGATACTTGACGGGACTCCTGCTTCTGGTCAAGATGAAATAAGAGGAGGGGCGCCTGGGTGGCTTAGTTGGTTAGGCATCCGACTTTCGCTTGGGTCATGATCTCGCAGTTCGTGGGTTCGAGCCCCGCGTCGGGCTCTGTGCTGACTGCCAGCTCAGAGCCTGGAGCCTGTTTCATTCTGTGACTCCCTCTCTCTCTAATCCTCCCCTGCTCACGCTGTCTCTCTCTCTCTTAGAAATAAATAAAAAACATTAAAAAAAAAAAAAAGATGAAATAAGAGGAGTGGATAAGCCCTTCTGTCTGAATCAACCAAACACCACACAAGTGTGTGAAACAGTCTGCGAGGCACCACTCACTGGGCCGTGAACGAGAGCGGTCTCTGGGGGGGAAACGAGCTCGGACGCCCCGATGCCCCACGTCCCTGTTTCCAGGCCACAGAGCAAGTGCTGGGAGTGGAGGCTCGAGTCTCCGCGACGAAAGCCTACAGGGAAGACATGCAGCCAGAGGGGCACGGACAGGTCAAGGGTCCCCCTCGAGGACTTGGCACCCCTGTGCGAGAAAACTGCTGGGGACGGGGAAAGGGACAACAGCGTCTGGTGCCCACACGGGGCCTGGAAGAGCACCTTCCTATGAGCCAGACTGGAAAGCCATTAAGAGAGTGGGCCCCGAATACTCAGTCGGGGGGCGATGAGCCTTGGAAAAAATATTGCTCCAGTCCCGCCTAACAGATCTTAAAAGCAGGACTCTAAAAGGTCAATGGTTCCCAAATAATTTAACATGTCCAGAATGAAACTCAAAAATATTTGTAGAAAATCAAAAATATCTACCACACAAATCAAGATTCACAACGTCTGACAGTCAATCAAAGGTAATCAGATGTGCAAAGAAGTAGAAAAACACACCCCTGATGGGGAGAAACAGCAGTCAACAGCGGCCTGGAGCTGACAGGAAAGAACTGGAAGACAGACACACAGAAACAGCTGTTGTAACTGCAGTCCCTCCGTCCAGAAGTTACGAAGTGACAGGAAAGATACCGGAAAGATTCAAATTGAGCCCCTGGAGAGAAAAAACAATGCACAGGATGAAAATGTCACCAGATGGCACTACTGGCAGAATAGATGCTGCAGAAGCTTAGTGAACTTGAAGACATGAACGACCTAAATAGTTCTACACCCACCAAAGAATTCTGTAGTTCACAAACTCTCCAGAGAGAGCCAAGGTGGCTTCACCGGGAACACTCTCAAACATTTAGGGAAAAGTAACACCAATTCTATTCAAACTCTTCTAGAAAATGAAAACGAGGGAACATTTGCAACTCATTTTATGAGGCCTGCGTGTCTCTGAGACAAACTCAGACAAATACGGTTCAGGGAAACAACACACCAATTTCCTCCATGATCATAGATGCAAAAACTAATGAAATGATGCCAAACTGAATCCAACGGTATCAAAAAAAAAAAAAAAAAGCAACACACCACTACCCAGTCAGAGTTATCCTAAGACTGCAAACTGGGCTTCCCATCTGAAAAGTCAACAATGCAATAAACTAAAAAAACAAACGTCGTATATCACCCCAATAGCTGCATGTACTTTTCTGGTAATCTTTCAGCAAACCAGGAATGGAAAGGCGCTGCCTCAACCTGATGATGGGTATTTCTGAAAAGCTCACAGCCAACATCACACTCCATAAGCACCAAACAGGAGTGTGTGCTTTCACATCTTCTACTCATCATCATTCTGGTGGTTCTGAACAGTGCACCGAGGTAAGAAAAGGAATTAAAAGGCATGCAGATTAGAAAGAAGTAAAACTATCTCTTATCTCTATTCATAGGCGACATGATTGTCTATGTAGAAAATCTGATGGAATCCACAAGCCACTGGAAGCGAGGTAAGAGAGCAGTACACTAGATCAATGTATAAACTTAAGTTCTACTTCTATATGCTAGCAAGAACCAAGAATTAAAACTACTATTTATAATACCACTAAAAATATGAAATGCTTAGGGCGCCTGGGTGGCTCAGTTGGTTAAGGGTCCAACTTGGGCTCAGGTCACCATCTCATGGTTCGTGGGTTCGAGCCCCGCGTCGGGCTCTGTGCTGACAGCTCAGAGCCTAAAGTCTGCTTTGGATTCTGTGTCTCCCTCTCTCTGCTCCTCCCCTGCTCTCACTCTGTCTCCCTCTCAAAAGTAAATATTGAAAAAAAAAGGAAGGAAGGAAGGAAGGAAGGAAGGAAGGAAGGAAGGAAGGAAGGAAGAAAAATGCTTAGGGCTAAATGTACAAAAGCTCTCCTGGACCTATACACTGGAACTAGAAGGCGCTGTTGAGAGAAGTGAAGGAAGACAAAGCAGAGAGCTGTCCCTTGTGATCAACTGGTAGACGTGGTGCTGTCAGAACACCAATCTGGAATCCGACATGATACTAATCCAAATCCTAGTAGGCTTTTTTGGTAGTAATTGGCAAATACTCTAAAACTCATACAGAAATTTATAACAGACCACTACGTACGCACTCAAGTGGCTAAAATAAAAGACTGATAATACCACAAGGCCGCAGAGCTCCTGGAGCTTCCCTACACCTGCTGGTACATATACAGAATGGGACTCAGGCGCTTGGGGGCTCAGTTGGTTAAGTGGCCCACTTTTGATTTCGGTTCAGGTCACAATCTCACGGTTCCTGAGATCGAGCCCCGCATCCGGCTCCACACTGAGTGCAGAGCCTGCTTGGGATTCTGTCTCCCTCTCTCTGCCCCTCCCCTGCAAGTGAAGCATGCATGCGTGCATGAGCTCTCTCTCTCAAACTTAAAAAAAAAATAGTATAGCCACTCTGAAAACATGAAATGCCTTAAAAAGTTAGGACTCTGAGACCCTACTTCTCAATATTTACTCAAGAGTTCTAATGTTCATAGCAGCTTTATGCATGATAACCCCAAACTGGGAACCCAAATGTCTGTTAGCTGGTGAAATGGCGGTACTCATACTACTCAGCAACCAAGTAACAAATTACTGTCACGTGATGGGCATGACACTCCAAGAACTGTCCTGAGCGGGAGATGCATGGTTCCACTTAAATGAGATGTTAGATTGGTGGAATACACCATCAGGAGATCAGTGGTGTGCAAGGAGTAGGGCAGGGGAGAGGCGTGACCTTTTTCATGCAGAAACAGTCCACATCTTGATTGTGGGGGCAGTTATTTACACCTCAGTATAAAATTTACTGAAGTACACATTATACGCAAATTATGTCTTAATAAAGTTGATCCAAAAGTATAATAAACTTGTTACAATTTAAGACAAAGAGGAACGTATGTCCATCAACCTGTCAAAAGTAGTCTTCCTTGGATGGCAGAAGCATAGGTGGTTTTAATTCTCCTGTTTGTACTTTTCTGTAATCTCTGTTAGTTTTATGATGTAATCACTTATACAAACAAAAAAAATTTTAATTGGAGTCCCTTAATAGGAATTGTGGTATCTTATTGTTACCTAAAATGTAGACAACAGACTAGTTAACAAGTGCCATTCTCTACAAATGGAAGATCAGAAAAACCAGTGTGCTTATAAACGGAATATGCCAATAGTATGTGTGCTTTTGACCATTTTTTGCTAAAAATGGAACATCTTTAGACTAAACGTAACTAAATCTGTCTGCATATCTTAAATGCAACAATCAAAAAACAACGAGAAAACAATCTGTATGAACAAGAAGCAGTAAAAGTGTTCTATGCAACAACGAAGTTATAATAATAAATCGCTGAGTCTCTGGAAAGTCAGGACAGTCGCGTGGCTCTTAGAAACACATCTTTCTCCCGAAATGGCCTAACTTTATCTTGCCGGACAGCCTGAAAACAAAAATCCCGCAACCACCAAGAACCAAAATCCCGCAGCACCTCGGGGGCAGGCCGTCGCAGGGCTCTTACTGTTCTGGACGAAGGCGGATGCTCGCGCTCCCGGGACTTCCCTCATTTCCGATCTGAAACAACACCGAGGACCACACGATCCGCGTCTGCACCACACTTCCTGGCCCCGGATCAGTGTGTTACCTACACAACCGCGACAGCACCCAAGGGAGGGAGGCGGGACGGCAGCCCCGCCGGGTCCGGGGCTCTCGGCAGAGAAGTGCGGTCACACGGCGCGCCCCGCCCGCCCCCGGGGGGCCTCACCTGGTACAGCTCTTCCAGGTTGTACCTGATGGAGGTGCTGCTCTGCACGGCCCTCACCGCCCCGCGGAGCTTCTGCCAGGTGTCCTGTGTGTAGTTGTCCGGCAGCCTGGGTCTGTCTGCGGGTCCGGAGAGCCTGAGTGAGGCGGGGCGCGCTTCCACGAGGAAGCCCCCGGGAGCCCCACCCGGCCTCCGCCGGGCGAGCCCCGAGCGGGCAGCGCACGCGAGTCCGCCGGCGCCGGCTGACCCGGGCGCGCGCGGGCAGGACGCTGGCGGGGCCGCGGGCGGCGGGGGAAGTGGGCTGCCCGGGCGCCCCGGTTCCCCGGGCCGGGACGGCGGGCAGCGCGGCCGCGGGGAGCCCCGGTCCCGGGACCCCCGCGCTCCCCGAGACCCCCCCCCCGGCGCCGCCGCCCCCCCCTCCCCCGCCCGCGCCCCTTCCCGGCCGCCTGCCCCGCACCCACCTCGGAAATTCTTGATGACTAGTTTCCTGGAGCCGCCGCCGCCCGCGGGCTTGGGCGACACGGCGGCCGCGGCAAGGGCCGCGGGCTTGGTGAGGCCGTTGGTGTGCCCGACGAGCGCCGACAGGGCGCCCTTCCTGGGGGTCTCGTCGGCCATGGCTGCGGCCGGGAAGCAGCGGGCGCCCCGCCCCGTCCCGCCTCCCCGGCCGCGCGGGCGGGCGGGCCTGTCGTCAGCGCCGCCCCGGGCCGCCCAACCGCCGCTCGGCCGGCCCGGTGCGACCGCGACCCCGACCCCGGCCTGACCCCGACCCGGCGCCGGGCCGCGCCGCGTCCGCCGCGCTCGGCGCGGAAGCTGCGACAGCCGAGGGGGCGGCGGGGCGCAGGCCCGGTTAGCTCCGGGGCGGGCCCGGGCACCCAGGGGCTGCGGACGAGGCGTCCTCGCCGAGGAGACGCGGCGAATCGCAGAGCGGACCCCGGCCTTCCTCAGCCCGGGCGGGCCGCCATGCCTGCCCGCGACGCGCTCCCGCGGACGCTGTCCCTCCGGAACCAGAGCGCGCGGAAGGCAGGGGCGGGGGGGCCGCCGACCTGGACGGACCGCGGGCCGGAAGTGAAGCGGCGGGGGCGGGCGCGCAGGCTCCGCCTTCTTCCGGCGGAGGCAAGGCGCCATGGCGCACATCACCATCAACCAGTATCTGCAGCAGGTAACGCGCGCCGTCTTAGGGGTCTGCCGCGGGAGCCCGGCGGCCTGGCGAGAACGCGGGGGCCGGGGCCAGTCGGCTGGGTCACTCTGCCGGAACCCTTAGTCGCCAGAGGGAAAGCGAGGGCGACCGAGCAGGCTCACTGACGGTGTTTCCCGGGGACCTAGGGGCGCGCCGCTGGGCGCTGACCTCGGCTTAGGGAAGTGCCAAGTGGTCCAAGCGGACCCGGGGGCCTGTTAGCCACCTGAGCAGCGGGGCTTCAGCCGTGAAGGGCCTGACCCAGGGACAAGGCCCCAGACAGACGATGGTGGGATGGAGCAAGCAGGTGGTCCGGCCGGGAACGCTAGTGGAGCGACCATCGAGGACACGGTTAGCACCTGCGGACTCCATATCCCTTGGGAAATGATCTCCCGGGAGTTTTGTCCGCATAGCCTCTAACGGCGGAGCATACTGAAAGCATAAGTGTGCATGGATTCAAAGCTTTGCATCGAGTCCCCTAAACTGCTCATTCTTAGAACTGGAACTGTGATGATAAGGAAAAGAGAGAGCGGATCTTAAACATGTCTGAAGGAAACGTTCCATCAACATTCTGTGTTGGAGGGACGGGGAGAATGAGTCCAGGTTTCCAGCGCGGGCAGCGCATGAGCGGAACAGAGTTGGAGGGAGAAGAAAACTCGGTGTTGGACATGTTGAGTTCGGGTTGTCTGTTGGCAACCAGGTAAAGATATCTAGGTGGGAACTGAATATAGTCTGACATGATTAGGACCGTTCGTTGCTTAGATATTTGGTAAGTTGGTTAAAACGGGAACCGTGAAAAACAGATAAATGGTTTTTAAAAAATTTAAAACGTGCAACTATGCAATTCATTTGCCAGTCTGTGGATTGAGATCTAAGACCTTTCTTTTAAGGATAGAGTTACTGTGGCCATCTTTGCAGAGTTAACATTTTCCAGTACTTGCTTATTTAAAGCTGGAAGGAAAGATATTTGAGAACCAGTTTGAATAGAGATTCTTTCTAGAATTTTATGTTTTTCTGAATCTTTTTTGTTGTGTACCTTCTCTGTGATAACTTGCTAAGAGCTCTTGGGTCTGGGGTTTGGTTTTACTCTCCTCTAAGTTTGTGAGTTCTCTCATTAGTTTCTTGGATGCTCACAGAACACATGCATTCCTGGCCAGAGACCAAGGGCCTGAAACTCCGTGTGGTGGGCGGCGTGGGGCCAGCCTGTTGGTCCGCTTGGGCCCAGATCCCGCTGGGGGATGCGTGGGCTCAGAAGGGTGCCTGCACATGCGTGCAAGAGGGAAACACTGAATTTGGGGAATCCACCCATTTTGTAGCAGGCGGTGAGTAAGCCTGCGTTTTGTTCGGGGTTAGGGATGGGGGAGACATTGCTTCATTTCTCAAGGTGACCAGCCACATACACAGCCTTGAACAGTGGTGCAAGTGAAAGGGCTAGAGGTCAAGGCCACGTGGGGCCAGCACGCCCAGCTCGAGAGCCCACGAAGGGCTGTCTTTCCCAACAGTTGGCCGTAGCTAAGATGTCCCCTTGTCTGTTGAGGCACTTCTTATTTAGTGCTCTGCGTTTCAGCAGGCAGATAGTTTCATTGCTGTTTGTAGAGGACGAGTTGGATTAATTTACCTTACGTTTCCCCACATTTGCTACTTCTAAAAATTGTTGTCGTACTTAGAAAAAGATCAGTTTGCACATACAGTTGACTCTTGAACAATGTGGGAGTTAGGGGTGCTGACCCCCGTGCATTTGAAAATCCATACATAACTTTTGACCCACCAATAACTTCGGTACTGATAGCCCACTGTTGGCCAGAAGCCTTACCAATCCCATAAACAGTTGGTTGGTAAGGCTGCTTAGTGTGTGGTGTTACATGTTGTATTCTTACAACAAAGTGAGCTGGAGGGAAGAAGACGTTAAGAAGTTCCAAGGAGGAGAAAAGACGGTTATAACATTAGACTGTAAAAATCCACATCTGAGTCGACCCTCAGCTCAAACCTGGTGTTTTCAAGGCTCAGCTGTACTTCTCCCCGAAGGTGGACCGCTTCGTTATTTTTAGCATCTCTTTGAGGGCTGGTGTTATTTTATTGGTGTTCTTTACTTCATTCTTTTGTCCATTCTACAAACTCTTGTTTCAAACAGCAAGTTACTTTTACTTTAGTGTTTATTTATTTACTTGGGGGGAGGGCAGAAAGAGAATCCCAAGCAGGCTCAGTGCCGTCAGCACAGAGTCCAAAGCGGGGCTTGAACTCACAAACCGTGCAATCGTGACCAGAGCCGAAATCAAGAGTCAGGTGCTTTACTGACTAGGCCTCCCAGGTGCCCCAGCAGCTTACTTTTTAAAAACTGTCTACATTTACTGTTTTTATTTTCCCAACTTTTTATTCTGCAAATTTTCAAAGCTGCAGACAAGGTGAAGGAAGTGCAGTGAAGACGGGTACGCTCCTCACCCGGCCACCCTGTGGGCCTCGTCCTTCCCTTTGGGCGCCTGCACTTCTCTCTCCTGAACCACGTGAAGGAAGTCGCTGAGCGTGGCCCTTCGCTGAGGACCGAGGCCACTCTGCTGTCCAGCCGCACAGCCTGTAGAGCAGCCAAGACATTTTACGTCAGTGTTTCCTAATGCAGAATTCAAGATTCACCCAGAGTGTTCTTTGGAACCTCTTCTTTAACTCCAGGATCCAGTCAGGTCACTCTCTGCATTTGATTATTTCGGACTTTAATCCAGAAGAGAACTCTTGCCATTTTCTGAGAGGGGATTTGTTTTATGACAATTAACTTTTTAAAACATGTCCAGGGCAGTGGGATCCTAGATTTCTCACCATCAGCCTTTATTTGACTTTTAACGATTAGCTGTGGGCTAATATGGCTGGTGTAGGTGTCCTGTGGCCTCACCCCAGGAGGCCTGCTTGGGGGGTCCTCCCTGATCACCTGCTGAAGGAGACGCCATCAGGTTGCTCCAGGGTCGAGGTACCTTTTCCCATTGTTATTGGGTTATAATCTGTAGGGAGGACCGCGGGGACCTGGGAGCACCTGCCCTCCACCCTTTCACAGAATGGTCTCCACTCTCCTTGCAGGTCTTGTTTCAAGTGAGCGGCTACTGTAGTGTTTGCCAAGTGGTGATTCGCTCACTCTTTCTACATCTGTTAGGTACTGTTCCATCTGTTAAAAATGCTTTTCCCTGTGCTCTATTTTAAGGATGTATTATTATAGATTATTTTTGATGCCAAGTAATAATCCAGAGCCAATAATAGGAATATTCTTATTTGCCTGGGCGGCTCAGTCAGTTAAGTATCTGACTCGTATCTGACTCGCGATCTTAGCTCAGGTTATAATCTCATGGTTGTGACATTGAGCCCTGTGCGAGGCTCTGTGTTGATAGCACAGAGCCTTCTTGGGATTCTCTGTGTCCCCGTCCCCTGCTCACGTGCACACACTCTCTCTCTCTCAAAAAATAAATAAACATTAAAAAATTATAAATAATACTTTTAATTATTTTTGAAGCTTAGCCTGTCCGGTTTGGCCACTAAGAGCTCTTTCACACTGGTTTCTGGGGCTTTCTGACCTGTGTCCGTCCTTCCTTGAGCTCTGCTTTGCTTTCTGGTATAGTAATACCCACACCAAGTCCCAGCACTGGATTGGTCTTTTTCCAGCAGCTCTAGCTCCTTTCAGTGGGGACCAGAGCTCAGCGGGGACCGGAGCTCAGCGGGGACCAGAACTCAGCGGGGATCAGTGGGGACCGGAGCTCAGCAGGGACCTCGGCTGAGACCTCGGTGGGGACCGGAGCTCGGCGGGGACTGGAGTTTAGAAAGCCTAAGGGCTGGCTGTGCTCATTGCCTCTGGGGGTGGGGCGTATTATTACCTCTAGGCCTTGTTAGCAGACGGAGCTAGTAAATGTGTTCTTAAGAAATGGCAAGTTCCAGGGGCACCTGGTTCGCCCTTGATCTTGGGGTCATGAGCTCAAGCCCCACATTGGGTATAGAGATTACTTAAAAAATTACGAGTTCTGAGAGTAGATGACTCTTCCCTGCCCCCTCCAGCCTCCATGGACCAGCTTGGAGCCTGGAGGTCGCCAGGTGACCAGCAGTAGCCAGGAAAGAGCTTTTTCCTGGGAGTGGCCGGAGCCAGTGCGCCACATGGTGGGCTGTGCAGTGACGGGACCGGGCACCCAGGATCACCCCAGGGCTGCTGCCGGGCGGGCGCACCTGGGGTCCAGCTGCGGGGTCCACTGGGGGCTGACTGAATGAAGCCAACGGTTCTGAGACGTGGCATAGCGACAGTGGCTGACACGGGTGACTGGCCAGTGGTGGTCCTCGTGGCCCCTGAGGAGCATGTCGGTTCTTTCAGGATTTGTCCGTGGTCTGTTGCAGTCCCTTGTCACCTCCACCCCTCCCGTGACAGGAACTTTGGCAGCCTTTATCAGCTTCCTCGAGGACCAGTATTTTGTGATTGCTCGTAATAATACTTGACATAACCCCGCACAAATCTCTCATTTCTTGTACGTCCCGGGAAGCGGATTGTACTCCACACCTAAACGCACGTGAGCTTCCGTTGGAGAGCCGCTGGCAGTCTTCAGTACGTGCGTTGTCTTCGGTGATGGCCTCCCTGAGTGGTATAGCCGACCGGGAGCCGGATCCATTTCTTCCGGCTGCGATGCCGGGTGTAGGGTTCCTGGGCGGGGTGGGGGTGGGGCAGGTGTGGCCCCCCCGCAGCGGGCGTGCCAGCACCTTGCGGCCAGCGGTGTGGGAGAGCGCCCGCTGCTCTCTGCTGCTGGCAGTGGCTGGTCTGGCCGCCCTGCTCGCCTTTCCTCCTGTGCTGGGTGCTCGGAGGGGTCTTGTTGCGTCTCGCTGCCGGGCAGGGACGCCAGCGCCTTTTCGCGGGTGTTCCGCGGGGTTGGCTCCATGTCC